TGGCTGCAAGCACTCACTCTTGGAGTGAAGTCGAAGGATCTCGATCTTCGAGCTAGAATCTCTTCTGGTGGCTTCTAACTCGTGCTTCATACTGTGTAATAATCCCCGGCAACCGCAGCAACTTGCTTTTTGAACAGGCTCGTGGCTCCCCCACTCATGGCAAGAATGATAGGGGTACCCATGCCCATGCCTCTGCAAGGGACGAATAGTGGCGTTCGACTCAGACGAGGAGGGCGCATGTGGATGGACTTGTGCAGTGTACGAAGTACTTATCATGCGAAGTAGTGTATATATGTACTTCTCAGTAGCACTTCGGAGGTAAGGGGAGGAGGTGGGTCAAGTAAATCCATGAGAGAAGGACCGGGCGCACGCTAGTTCTTGGTCATGTCTCGATCGATGTGTCTGAAGTAGGGAATGAAGACAATGAGAACGCCAGTGCGAAGTAAACTAGGACAAGTCTAGGCCTAAAAGCGTGGCAACCGGGACCAGCTGAATCTCCATATCGACCTCAGCCTGCTCCACTCCAGCCATGTGACAGGACTTCAGTCGACTCGACTGCTACGTAGCGTAATCTAATCGTACTTCTTAGCACACTAATACACAATACACATACACAAGCCCCCTTCAGCAATGGAGCAGTTGAAAGGGTATCCCACTAGTGACTCCCGCTGGCACGCTCCGGATCTCGTTTGCTGGAAGTTCTGGACACACGAACCGATAAACCAAACCCACCTTTGTTGGGGGGTGGCGGGCAAGGAAAGGGGGCCCATGAGATGGAGCGATTGGCCCGTCATTCTCGATCCGTCAACCATCCACTTCGGATTATTTGCAAGACTAAAACCCCAAATCGCCAAAAACACCACCCCAAAGTTATGTACACTACACTACTAGTAATTACCCACTAGGCAAGGTTGCAACCGTCGAGTACGACATTGATTGAATTGATCAATGATCGATACTTATTACACAGCAGAGCGACGGCCTTTAGTGAGATTGCGTCAGCCTGCTAGCTGGATTGGTGCCAGCCAGCCCCCACGTGCTGCTACTACTACTTCAAGGGATGCTACTTTGTAGTACTAGGATGACCAGGGAGCATGGCATCCCGGATTTGTTGAGTGGATCTGATGCGGGTGCTGCGAAATTGATGCCGCTGAGTGCCTCCTGAACTCTGTTAGGGGACAAAAAAAAAAAGACGGTATCGGCGTGCTTGAGCTGTAAGGCTTGGAGATGGGCTCGAGACTATCTTTGTCGTTTGATATTCGAGGGTCAGACCACCCACCCACTACCTCGGTAGTGCGGGAGCGACGGAGGACGGGAACGGGATTATTTTTGCGAAGTGATGTGTCGTTTTTAGGGGTTTCGATCGGAGGGAGCGCAGGGCTTCTTGCCGATTGCCCAATTGGAGATGCTACAAATTCACTGATGATTTGGGAGGGAAGATCGCCCAGTTAGTGTACCACTACGAAGGTACAGGCGCCTGGCGAGCCAGGACCAGGCCCCCAGGCCAGCCAGCCAGCCAGATTTGCGGGGTTGGAACGTGCCTCAACTGTCCAGAACCGTGGATAACCCTTGAGCTTCAGGCGTCCATTGATGTATGATACTCTGCGATTTTGTTAGTAAAATTGTAGGGGTCCTTGCGAATACGTCGTCATGATCAGTCCTGGACTCCTGGTCCTGGTCGCTTCAAAGTCCTTGGCGGGACTGCGGCTGGTTCCACTGCACTAGATGAAGGGCGCATTCGTAACTAAAGTACACTAGTCTGCGATGTGGACATCAAATCGATCAATGTCAATGTCAAATGTCAATAGTCCGTTACAGCTATGACGCCTGATCGAGCCGACTTGATCCACAGGAGTCGTAGTGTGTGAGTAAATCCGTCAACGAGAACGCACACGTGTACTCCGGAGGTGAGGATGGGACTGGATGGACGAGATGGACTGGGTGGACTAGACACAGAAAGCCCCTTAGCCAAACCCCTCAAATTGATCCCTCAATCAGCCAAGCCCACCGTGAACTTGCCAAGTTGCACTTTATGCCTGCAACATTCTCATTGGGGAGGAGATCGTCTGCTCGGAGCTGGGAGGATTTTTTTCCTCGCCATCTTACCACCCACCTACTACCCAGTCTGCTGCAGTATTCCCTGCCATCACTCCTACTAGCTGCATTGAAGTAATATGATAATATATCTCCAATGCTCCATGCATGTAGGTGAGCGACACATGGGCAGGGGAGGGGGGCAATCCACTTGCAATGTGAGCAGCCACGACCCACTCCGTGATAGCTACTGCGTTGTGTCCAGTGCTTCTCTGGGGTAATGGATGCGAATAGAACGCCGTTTATTGGTCTAGATGCCCCAATAATATTGAGAACACGAGCGATTGATGTATGAAGTACTTCGTCGCATCAATAACACTTTGTCCTCGCATTTGATCCCTCGTGCCTCCTACTGCGAAGTATGTACACATACGAAGTCCAAGTAATAACAATGAAAATAAAAATAGCTCGTTCCTTCGGAGCGGAAGTCCTGGCAATAAGACTTCGCACTGGCAATGTGTAGTGTAATTTCAAAAAGCCCGGCGACTCGGCACATCCCTGGGCTGTGCTGACAATCAATGTCCGTGCTGCGCTGCTTTTGCGTATCTCGTATCCCCCAGTCCTAGTAATCTCCTCATCTGCTTCCTCCTCATAGACTCCGCAGCATCACAAGGAGGACGAATGGATTGTGTCTAGCCCGGCCTAGGATATCGTGAGACGGGGGAACCAGCAATCAGTGCAATCAATCGCCGAATCGGAAATCTGGGCGGGCTCGTTGCTTCTCCTACCAGTACAGGATGAACGCAGTTTGACAGTTGGTGTCTCCGCTGGTCTGCGCCCGCCCTAGGCCCCAGCTTCTCACGCTATCAAGAGAGCACTGGACATTCGCAAGGGTGGAGATTGGTGGCGGGAGATCCACAGGGTCCACGAGAGCCTGATGTTGCTGATGTTGCGCTGTGCTATGGGCTGTCATTAGTATCGATCAATGGATCGTCGGCACCATTGGATTGATTGCTTTCCCAACCCGCCCACGCCCTGAGCCTCAGTAGTGTCTCGCTAGCGAACATCAGCTTAACCTGACCCACAGAGCGGAATTTTAGTTCCGTACCAAAGGATAACCAAACCCAGATCCTTGGGTTCACATCGTCCATCTTCCTGCACTTGCTAAATACCCCCATTCTGGGAATTGGGGAGCCGTTGTGGCGAGGGTTAGGATGTTCCGCGAAACTTTGCTCCAGCAAACGCCAATCTTCCCCCCATTTGTCCTTTCAAATGTCGCATGTATGCTGCACTGCTTGCAATGTTAGACGGCCTTGGCGGACTCCCGCACTACTGCATCTTCCATTCTATGCGCTCTTTGGCCCTTTCGCCTTTAGAAGGCTCCTTTTGGGCTAGAGGGAGATCACCGTTCTACCCCTCCTTCTGCCTGGCTTCTACAGTAGTATTACGAAGCACGAAAGGATTATGCTCAAGCACGACCCTACATGAAGCACGTACAAGTGTGTAGGGGACTCGAAAGACTACTCGTATGCCTACCAATCCCCTGGAACCTCTACATGTATGTCTGTGCCGGCCAATAGTACCCAGGGCCTAGCACGGCTTAAATGCAACCCGGTCAGACTCTCCCAACAACACAACTTCCTGGCTCCTGGCTCCTGGCTCCTGCCATCTGCATCCGCTATCGCCTCTGAAGGATGCATTTCCATGAGCCAGGGCCGGAGCTGGGCTACTGCTCCTTCCCGAGCAGCGTTAGTGGCGTCAAGCACGAAGAAGAGCGGACCTTTTTCAGGGGGCCAGACCTAACGCAGTGCACTGAAACTAATGCTTGGACCAAGTACAGTTTGGTTTGAGCCAATATCAATGCAAGTACCTCGGTACATGAAAGACCCTTTATTAGGATTGCTTGCTAGCGGATCCTCCAGCAAGCAGATCAAATGCACTATTTGTATTACGGCGGCGCACGGATGCCTTTTTCCGGGTCTGTTGGCTGCGAAAGATGGAGCATGGGATTCCCTGTGTCGGAGCTCCCAACCGAGCTGAGAGCCCAGGCAGTTTGACCGGTCTGGCACGTAAACCAACTGCACAATGCTTTATTCAGATATTAGCCATGCTTTGTTATTGCCCTCTCCCTGTACCAAATAGACTACCGATGCCAAGACAGGAGATACTGAAACGGCACTTCGGCTGGTGATGCACTATTACTTTGTAGACAGACACCTTCCCCTCTCCGGCTTTGACACCGAGACACCGAGAGGCACGGCTCCCAAAGCAACACTGCCGCCCAAAGAGGGGGGTGACACTCGCTCCCTATCTAGGGAGACGCCTTCATCTCCCCCGTCGAATCAGCTCCTGCTCCGGCTTAGAGAGGAGAAGATTATTACCAATTGGCGTTGGGACCAACACACTACTGCACAGCTTGAGCCCCCTGTCGCAGGCATGTGTTCTTGGCCCACGAGGGGAAGTCCCTCCATGCCAGTAGACGGCACAGTTGTGTCAACTGGTCGGAATTCCGAGAGCAGGGTCTTCCTCGAGTCTATGGAGACTGGGAGAGTACGCAGTCCACTTTCCTACGTGGATGGATGTGTGTCCTAGTGCAATCCAAGAGACCGGGGTGTTAATATAAAAGTACTACCCAAATTCCACCGCAGGTGAAGGAGGAGGAGTGAGTCTGTCATCACCTACAAGTAGTAAGCTCTGCATCCGTCGACGGCCTATACATAGAGGAGCCATCCCCGACCCTCCCTTGAGACCGAACATTCCTTCCGATCTACGAAGTACACCTTGCTTTTTTCTTTCTTCTGGACGGATCATCCCTTTCGTCATACATAATCCCACGCTGCACCTCGCAAAAACTTTAAATCTCACCCCTGGTACATCTTCATCGATTGCGACTTTCCTCTCTTACGGACAGCACCCACACAGACACACACATACCTCACCACACACCACACACACGCTCAGACAATATGACGACGACGACGGAACATATCGATCGCAAGTCCCTCTACACGAGCCTTGAGGCGCGTATCGATTACCTCCATCGCTTCTTAGACTTTAACGATTGTGCGTACCAGCAACTCAACACCCAAGCCTCTCATTGAGTAACGTCCTCTAACACCCCCATCACAGCTGATGTTGCTGCTCTCGCCTTCGGCTCCAAGTTCGTCAAGGACATTATACCTGCTGTCGTACATATCGTCTACAGGAAGCTCCTTCAGTTCGATATCACAGCCCGCGCCTTTGAAATCAGGGACACCCGATCCGAGGAGCCTCTTCAAACGATATTAGAGGATGGAAGCCCCGAGCTTCAACGACGCAAGACCTTCCTCAACTCCTACCTTCACAAAATCTGCTCCGATCAGTCCCAATTGGCTTTCTGGCAGTGGCTTGATCAGGTCGGGTAAGTAAAATGACCTTCATCATGATATCTCTACCGTTTCCCCAAGGGACTAACATCTAACTTAATGACAACAGCGCCATGCACGTCGGCCTACGAAGGAAGAACCCCCTTCACGTCGAATACATCCACATCAGCGCCACGCTCTGCCTCATCCAGTCCGTCCTCGTCGAGGGCATCCTCTCCCACCATGGATTCCCCATGTCCAAGAGGATAGCCATGGTCAAGGCCATCAACAAGGTGATCTGGATCCAGAACGACCTCTTCGCCAAGTGGTACGTCCGTGACGGCGAGGAGTTCTCCGAGGAGGCCGCCGAGTCGGCTGCCACCACCGTCGAGAAGCTCAACAGCAGCAGCCAGCCCAACTTGAAGCAGCACGCGCCTTCCACCGCGGCGCCGGCCTGCCCGTTTACCGGAATGGCAAAGGCTATGAAGGAACTTTCGGTTGGTGAGGGGGCGCATTAATGATTTTTGATTTTGGGTGAACGCATGGGAAATCTCTCCACTATCACTAGTACTACTAACAGGGATCGGCGGAGTTTGGATTTGTTACGGATTATGTTTTCATTCGGCGTCGTGTTGCTATAAATTGGCTGTGCTCAAGGCGACATAGTGTTAAACTGGTTAATAAATGAACTACTTTTCGGTACCACCTCTAGCTTTGATATGTCATATGTGCAAGTGACCTCAATAGGTCTTGGCCTACATGTTTCCGATAAGGCCTACTTCGTGCACTCCCTGCCTCCTTTCTCTTATCAACATGAGCCCTGCTAGACGGACGTGCTCTTGCCCAGTCTAGCGCAGACATCCGGGGGGAGATCGACGGACCCGATATCAACTGCCAGGTTGAGGTCAATGCTCAAGACGCACTACTGAAATTGGGACTATCACCCTGCTCACACCAGAGCATTTACATAGATCCCTAGATCAAATTCCGATGATGCCGGAAGCCAGAAGAGGGAGACCCGTCGTATTCTCAACCATAACCGAGTCGTTGGTACACCGACGACCCACACCCACCTCCCAATTCTAGGTTAGCGGTGTTGATAGTCTTGACTTGTAGGTCATGGCGTTAATAGTGAGATAACTTAATTCTTTTAGAGTTGCATTTTCATGTAGGTTAGAGTGGTTAAATACGACATATGAAGGGATTAGGCGAGCTTGGCAAGCTTAGATTCGGGGATTTCGCCATCTTCGCTCCCTTCGGCCTCGACGACAATCCACTAGCTTGTTTCGACCAAACCCCTCAGGACCCCGATATTGGCCCTTATCCCAGATATGACGCTTCCACCGGGTTCCTCGAAGTCTTTTGCCAGGTTCAACGCCATCTCCGCGAAGACGAGAGCATTTTGGTAGTCGCCGTAGTCGTAAAAGACCCCCATAAGATCGAGGTAGAACTCTTGCATCTTGCCATGGAGACCCTCCTCGTTGGCCAGATTGAGAAGTTCTTGGGTCTTGTCGACAGCACTTTCGTAGGGTTCGTTGCCGCTGTGGAGTGAGACTTCCAGCTCCTGGATTCGTCGCCGACGGGTGTCCGATAGTTTGATGTCCTCGGGTGGGGCCGTACATAACGAGCATCGGCATTTGAAACCGAAGAAGTGGGTGGTCATATAATCCCGGTGGTCGGATGCGAGACCCCAGGGAATATCTAGGCCCGTGTTAGCGTGCGTATCTAAGGAACTCGTCTTGGCGAAGACTGCGTTGAATTCATCCTCGTACAATTAAAAGAAATTTCCTCGCCTGGCTCAATATCTCTTAGAGCCATGGCTGTCATCGTAAACTTTTCGTTTGAAAACCGAGCAGAGGCGCTACAGAAGAATGTCAGTATTCCCTCAGAAATGCTTCGCACCTGTTGCCCCCATCATCTTACTTAGGATCACAATCGTGATTGATTCGCTATAATATCATGGTCAGCACACTTTCTTAATGTTGTCCAAACCCACAACCACCTACCGCTATCTCGGGGAAGAGGCCGTTGTGGTTGCCGCCTTCATCCATAGCCACCAGAAAAGAGTTGGTCTTGAAAATGTCATCGACAGTGCTATCGCCTCTGCTCGACGCAAGCCGCAACACCCTATCTTTCCCCAGAAGATTCGCCACGGCCTTCTCGTAAATTTCCTTTCTTTCTTCCTCAAACTCTTCTATGGGGCGCTCCGAGAGAGTCTCCAGCCTGGCATCAATGAGAAGGGAAGGAAGATCGGTTATAAAGACTTCCTTACGCAAGATTTTTTGAGTGGCCACGGCGCCAATACCCTTCCCGGGAATCTCTTCCAACCTGTACTTTATCTCCCCGGAAGCTTCAGAGTTAGTATTCCGTCGGCGATGCTTTCGAGCTCTCCAAGCTGGCTCCGGGTTCCAGAGAGCCCCGGCGATATTCGCCGCCGCCTCTGGGGTCGTGAGCAAGCTTATTCCATCACCGAGATTGTACGTCCCAAAAGTGTAGACGCAGAATTTGACGTCTTCATCCCAGTCCTCGACTTCAGGATAGACACATTGCGGTTCTTCTGTCCATGGGCTCCATTCGCCGGTGCGAGACGCAGTGTAGTCGTCGACTGGCAGAGGACAGGTGCTACGGCGGACAGCCGTACCGCTGAGCGCCTGGCCGTGGTCTGCCGGACATCGGGAGGAAGTTAGCGCCACTGCTAGTGTAGGTGCAGAGAGGAGGATTAACCCTAATAAGGTGGAGTGAAGGTCCATTGCGAAGTCGAAGTGGACGCCAAACCCAGAGAAGTGGTTCCAACCAGGCGAAACGACGTGGCCAGAAGGACCAGAAATCTCAGGTACCGTGTTACTTATGTAAGAAAGCTGAGGAGAGTTGAAACAATGTTGAATCGAGTTTGATCCATACATATTTGAGGCTATATGCCTCGGATCAAATAATAATACACGTCGGGTAATTGGGCTATTCCAGACCAGAAAGCAATTTTATCCAGTGGACTGTCTTTACTCCTTTCGTTCACTCTTTGGCATTTCACGGGAATAGGACATAGTCCAAGGCCCGACTAGAATGGGCTTTCACGTTTCTCGTCCGAACAAAGGCACGCGCCTGGGAGGTTGCTATTCCATCTTCAAATTGACACACACCGACATTGCAAACCGTAACCCTAACAATACAGTCCAAGGAGGAAAATATCGTAAAATAGAACATCATATAGAAAAGAAGAGACGAAAGAAGAAAGGGTAGGAAAAAATGAAAAAGAGAAAATAATGATAACAGACGGAACAAAGAGCAGGTACCCGGTATCTGCATTATTAGACGATAGGAGACAGGAAATTTCAGCGCAGCTGCAGAATATAAACATGACCATTGACGGGATAAGAAAAACTTCGGCTGCTGAGTACTTCAAATGAATGACATGAGCGAAAGATTCTTGGAGTATCAACTCACTAACGAACGATGTGATGCAGACAAGGGGGGTCGGGAGAGGATTTCAAACCTATGCAGACTCACTCCATGAATAGTTTGGCATCGCATGAGGCCGAGGCGCCTTGCGACAAGTCTGAAGATGCCGATTGAAGTTACTCCGCTTGTTTTTGATCTTCTCGCCACAATGCTCGCAAGGAAATATCTCCTTATCCTGACCGTGGTTCGTTTTAAGATGATATTTAATACCCCTGTTATTTGCCGCTTGGTAGTGACACATGGGGCATTTCGTCGGTTTATAGTGTGTTCGCACATGAGACCTGAAGTTCTTAGTATGTGTAGAGATTGTGCATCTCGTGGATGAAGTAGCATGTTTTAGAGAAGTGAGATGAGATTGCACGAAGGAAGAGACTTACCTAAGTTTGCACAGCTGCTTATACTTTTTCGTATTTGAACAAGAGAATCGCCCGCCCTCGACCCTTGCGAACTTGCAGCTATAGAACACTTTCCCATTTTCATGAACTTTATGGGTCCATTCCGCCGGCCCAGGCATGGGAACTTCCTCGTATTTATGCTTTCCCCTCTGTGGAACCACCAGCACACCGTCCGGAGTCGAGCCATCATCCCAATACCGATCGCCAACATTGTCTTCCAAGTCCTCGCTATCACCCGCCTAATGATGGGCGGCAACGACCTCGGAAGGGGAGTTGGAGATGTTGATATTGGAACTAGGGCTAGCTCCGGCGGCCTCGTATGACTCGGCGCAGTCAGACGGGCTGGTAGGCACAGTCAGGATGTCGAAGTAACTCGCCGGTGTTGAAACATCAACTTCCAGCTCTGGTGGGAGGTACTGGTCTAACAGCGACAGGTCATCGAAATCGATGTCATCCCAGTCTCCGTTGATGGCCCACGGATCATTCATTTTCCAGACTGAGTGGGTGGATTAATGGAAGAGGTCCAAGTCAAGGCCGTTGGATGCTTCATATCGTTAGAACATTCAAGGGAACAGTAGAGATGTAAGGTAGTGTTGCACAATATGTCAGGACGCACAAATAGACGCGAGCCTTTCGGAAGGCCCAAAAACCGAACAAGTGAAGTATTAATATCAAAGACAGCCAGGACTCAAGAGACGGATCAGTGCAACGCATCAATGGCACCGTCTAATCAATCACCACTTAAATCCCCGATATGGTACACACCCCTTCCTAAGTAAAGTGTTAGCAATGCGATAATAGGAGGAAGTTTCACCAATAGGTGAGGTGACTTACTTTCCGCTAAGCGGTAACTGCCATATTCGTGAAGCGCGCTGGCGCGGCGAGGAATGCCTCAGTCACGAACGAGGACTGCCGGATTCATCAGCTTTAATACTTCACCCACACTCCCCATTTACGTGCTCAATAAAACATGGTAGACTCAATCCTTCCCCTCTTTTCCCCTCCCCTCTTCTCAATGCTTCTGTAGGCATCTTCCTTGGCGTTAACTTGGTTGTTGTGCTCGGCCTCCAGGCGACCGCGGTTCGCCTGCAAGTAGTGCTGATGCCTGGCCACAGAGTTCCCACTCCTCCTACAATCTTCGCAACTTGTGTGAAAACCATTGGCGATACAGATAATAACAACAGGACTCCAGTTGGCTCTTAACGCCATGTTCTGCAAGCCAGCCTGGTTTCGCAGATGGGGGCCGGATGTCCTCCGTGTGGGATTGGCTACTCAACCAGCCGGACCCCCCTCCTTCCTCCCCCCCTCCCGGTACAAACAGTCGTCATTTGAAAGAGGCCCAGCATTAGCTCAGATATTGCTACCTGAATGTCTTGAATTGCGTAGAGCCCGGCCATGGTGCGCTGTTGGCGAACCGCGCCATCTCGCTGGGCCTCCAACTGGGGCTCCCAGGCGCATGTATCTCGCAGCGAATTGAGGCGGTGATTGCCCAATTCCGTCAAAGGCGCAACCACCAGGATCAAAAATGTCTACGAAAATTCCCAATTGCGCATTCGAATGCTGGCTTCAACTCGGCATATATCTATGCAGATTCACCCAATGGAGACATTCCGTTTTGTCACGACGGCCGTATATGCGCAGATACCGACTCGTTTGGAAACTGGTAGAAGATCCGTACGGGTTTCTGAAATGGGAATTATCATATGATGGTTTGTCTACACGCTGTTGCGCAGGTTGAGTCCACTGTTGGCTCAAGTGATGGGCCTCCGAAGACAGACAGGCTCCCCTGTCTCGGTTGCTTGTGTGGCCTTTTCGAGTGATGTTGAATTATATCACAGTTCACATCCCGGATTCCCGAGTCTGCGAAAGACATAATATATAAATCACAAAATAACTCCCTTGTTTTCGACATAAATTTCCTCATCTCAACCGTCACACTGACAGCATTAGATGAGATTGAAGCATTCATGAGATACATCTTGTTCCTCATAAGTTCCCATCACCTGGCACCTATCCCGAATCTCCTGTCCTTCAAATTTGATATCTCTAGAGAACTCTCCTTCCAAAATTGGCCATGGGGAGTATCGGAGCTCTAGGTCCTGCTAGTCGAGGTATGCCCTCTTGCGATTCATGGCGTGATCAAGGACTTACCTTCCTGACCCAGTGTGTGTGTACCAATGCAAGCTAACATATGCAACCTTTAGAAGCGCCGAGGAGGATTAGTGAGCTACCTTCTCCTCTGAGAAGACAGTTCTACCCACCGGTGGTCTTTCTAGACGTCCTCGAAAGGGCCGGCTCATCGAACCAACGCAGCATACGTTTGGATTCCGACGTATCGCTGGAAAGATCTCTAGACCCCGAGCAGATCTTCCGCGGATTTGTCAATCGGCTGGCGCTGATTTGCCAGAATGAACCCAGCGGAAACACCGTGACGGCGGCGGCAATTTTACAGGAACCAGACAAGGTGCTGTATGTATTCGCCTCAAACGCCAGGCCCAAATCGAAGCACCGAAAGCTACGGGAATCTGTGTGGTTGATCCTTAGGCTTTTGAGCTCCTGGACGCAGTCGGGGCGATCAGGACAAAGTGGAAATGAAGGCCTTGTTCTGAACCTTGTTCTGAACCTTGTCCTCGTACTTAATCATTTAAGGATCAGGTCATACCTGAGCTGTCTTGGGGAGCATCTGAAGGACTGCATCCAGGCATTGAGGAACAGCGAGAAAGGTGGAAAGAGTACAGAAGGTGGTAAGATAATATATACTCTTTTCCTATCCACTTAGAGGGCCAACTAACCCTTGTAGATCGTCTTCTCATACCTCTCCTTGAAAACTTGACGGTCTTGGCCTCGACTGCTCTGGAAAGGGCTAAGGCCAATCTCGACTCTGGTAGGTCGCACCTAACAAGATCCAGCAAGACAAGTAGTTTCATTCATCGAAGCTGACGATGTTTTCCTAACCCAACCTAATCAGAGGTATCCAAAAACAATTACCTCTCTGCCATCAAGGCAGTAATTGAATCCATTGATGGAATCTACTCCTCGAGTCAAGTCTTTTATAGAATCCGCCTCTGGCTTGTTAATGAGGAGCGTCTCCACAACTCTGGATGTTGGTACGAGGTCTGTCACGTCTCGGAACGGCTGAGTGCTTACAGAAAGGCGGCCGAGACATTCCTGCTCGCACGGGAACTGTGGCCCAGCCTCTTTGACCAGTTTGATGTTCAGTTCCTCGACTCTATCCCGAAAGGCCCGTGTCCACTATTGGGCGCCGCGAAGACTGCCCAGCAGTTTATCCGAGTGCTCACCTCAGATGAAGCAGCGCTGGCAAGATCCAGAGACGAGGTGGATAGACTCAACACTGTCGGAGACTTCGACGGCCAGCTTGAGGAAAAGTGGAACAGCAACATCAAGCCTATCGTTCATGCAGAGATTCAGCTGCACCACTGGCTTGAAAATAACGGTGGGACTGCCCCTCATCGGTTCTTCAACATGTACACGTACATCGGCTCAAGCAAGCCCACCTGCAAGCTGTGTGCGTACTACTTCGATGAGCACCCCACCGATGTCAAGGTTCGAACTTCACACGGGAATGTCTATTCGGCGTGGGCATACCCGCCGGTCTACATGGACCAAGGCGAAAGAGGCCAGAAAACTCGCCTAAGGGTGATGCACAGCATGAAAAAGAGAATTGTGGCCGACATCTTCCGTCTGTTGACGGAGAGGGTTGGACATCGCAGGGCCCACGACTCGACCGACCAATGGCAGGAAAGCGTTCGGCTCCCACCTCGTGTCAACACAGATATCATGTCAGACTATTTGGACTTCATGTCCGATACAATGGATAATCTGAGTCTTGCTGGTGAGCCCGATATTGATACAACCCACTCAACGCCAAGACGGCAAGAAAGAGGCTCGAATAATACAGACACGCCTTCACAAACTCGACTTTCGATACCGCAAGAAACGGTTGGCCCTCCACCTCTTTCCGAGGCAGATACCATTGCGAGATATTTGGAATTCATCTCGGATACCATGGATAACCTGAGTCTTTCTGGTGAGCCCGCCGTCGAGACGGACGACGTAGCTGGTAGCTGGGATCGCAGAGGTTCGGATACGGACACACCCTCGACATCTCAGCTTCCGGCATCCCAACTGGCTTCATCTACATCTGCGGATGGCGAAGACATACTCGCCACCGAGACCGAAGCAGAGTCCGATAGCGGTCGAAGGAATGGTATTCCGCTCTCTCTAGCCGGGTTGAGATCTACGTCATTTTCGACCCGCGGATCGTGAACGCTACGCCTTTTATTCCGTCACCCTCGCTATTATTCCATCACCTTTCATCACCCTTTAGGTGATCAAAAATAGCGAGGGTGACGGAATGGAGCGTGTTGCACTCACGACCTTTCAATAAGCCAATGCTTAGGCTTCCTTTCTTTCTAGTCTTTCTAGCAGAAAGATAAGAGCCTTACAGCTGCACCTGTCACACCGGTGGCCCTACCGGTAGTACGCATTGCGCAGTCGAGGGAATTTGAGCCCGCTGATCGCTGATTGGGACGCATGCGTAAACTACTAGAACATCGCATGCGCCCAGCAGCGATTGCTCAAATTCCCTCGACTGCGCACTGCTCGTGTAGCTTAGGAGCTTAAGAGCAGGCTGAAAATAAACAGCCGGACAGGCGCATAGTGCTTGTCTTAAAAAATGGGATGGTGGGAAGGAGGGGGGAGGGAGGGGAGAGCGAGAGAGAGAGAGAGAGAGAGGGAGACGGAGAACGAGGGGGCGGAGAGGGGGTCTCATTTCTGGCATCTCATCAATCACCCTATGGGATGCCGTCCTGTCTTTACGGTTCTGTGATTATTATTATTTTTATTTGAATATGACTGAAGCTATGTACAATTCCTATTCAAGATTACCATGAACGGTGAATAGCCTGGAGACAGAGCCAGGTTAACTCTGACCTTCCCTGTCGAATGCGTTGTATTCGCCAAGCTGTGGACCGCCTGCGGTCATCTGTGATGGGAAGCCAGCGCCGAGGTCAGCGTTTGGCAAGGGCCAAAACTCCCATCCAGGGTACGCTTGCTGGGAGAAGTCTGGCAAGTAGTAGTTCGAAATGTCTTCGTGAGCCTTGTTACCAGACGAGGCATCAAGTTGACAAATGCATCCGCCTGCGTCTGCCGTGCAATTATGATCCGCATCGCAATGCAGAGAAATTCCCGAATCGCGGAAGCCGGCTTCCGGGCTCGGGATATAGGACTCGGGCTGTGCATCCGCCAGCGATGAGGTATCACCGGACTCGCTCATGGGAGGTAGTGAAGGGGACGGCTGGACCCGAGTCTGGGAGGAAACTCGGTTCCGCTGGGGGGCGAGCCTGCGTAAAGGGATGGGTGCCCCCGGTGCGGTATTAGTTCTAGAGCTGGAGCCCGTTTGGGCGGTGGGTTCGAGGGATGGTGGTCTTGCGGAAGAGGATCGTCGAGTGGGGATGTTTTGAGGCCGCCTGGCCACCGAGAGAGACGAGGACCCAAATCTGCCTTTGCAGTTTCTCAAGGCGAAGGCTACGTAGACGTCGACGACGGTTTCTAGCGCTCGGAGGATCTGGAAGCGCCGGCCAGGATCGAGATCAGGCACATGGGAGAGTTCCCTTTGAAGCCCGTCGCAAAGGATCCCAGTGGCTTTCTTTAACTCATCTTTGACTTCGTGGTGTTCAATAACGGGCTCGAATTCTAAATAATTGTAAGTGGGAGAAATACCAAGCATTGATAAAATGTTTAACAAGCACATACCTGGTTGAGGGACGTCGGGATCTGTCGGAAAGATAAGCCTGCAAATCTGCTCCCAGGTTTGGATCTTGCCATTTGCCTTCCTGTCGACGAGAGTCTTGCTCATCTCGTCCGTAATCCCATCCTCAGGATCTTGCGTTGGCTTATTACGGCCCTCAGGTTCGCACATCTGGTCCTTCGGCAATTCTGAATGTCTATCGAGAGCCTCTTCGGAAGGAAATCCCTTCTTACACCGGCGACACTGATGCATCACGGCGCCTCCTCGGCGATGCCATGTCTGGATGTGGCGCCTGGGAGTTTCACGGTCAGTAAAATTATACGAAGACACGAATATTGTTACCGTCTCCTTACTTGAGCTCGGGAATGCCGATGATGGGCTTTCGGCAGCAATTCTCATAGTCGCGGATATTGAAGCGCAGTGGATTGCGCTTCCTGTATGGGCAACTGAACGCAGACTGCTGGGTGGCTGTCTTGGCCCTCTTCCGGCTCATATCGTCGGGTGAGAGCAGGTCGTCCCCGCCATTCCCGCCTGGCTGATCGCTCGTAAAATCGTCGCCACCATCCCCGGCTTGTTGGGAAGTGCGTTTGCGGCTATTTGACCCTCCAGCTCCTCTCTGTTCTGATGAGCTCATGGAAGTTGTGCCCGAATTATCCCATGATGAATTATCTCCAGGAGAGGCTTGGTAATAAACATTATTCGAAGTCCAGCCGAGCTGGCGGGCAACAACATCGACATCCTCTAGGCATCTAATGACAGCATCCAGAATCTTAAGAGGTACTTGCGCATTCGAGGAACCGACACCATACGCTTCTCGCAAAATGGAATGGCCTATCCTTTCGACAACAGCTGGATCGTAGCTGTTAACTTCAGGCGGAGCACACCATGGTTCGCGAAGGCACTCTTGTCGAGGGCGGACACAGCTCTCCTGTTCCGAAGATATTTCCTCGTGAGGCGGACTCCGAGAACCCCTGAGACGACGATGTAGGGACTTGTCAGCAGCCTCTTGCGTATCCGAAAGTGATGACCGGCGTGGGAATAAGATCAAGCTTCGATGGCTGGGGAAGGTCGGAAGGGATTTTGTTCGGTTGTGCACTTTGGCGCGAGCTTCCGCTCGTATCTCTCGGAACTGGGCGAAGGTAAGAGGTGCGGAAGAAGTAGGAGATGTACTCAAGTGAGATGGGTCGGACCCCCCGCGGGGTCTAATTCCTCTCTTCCTTGAGCGGCGTAACCTTATCGGGAGACTCAGGGTTTGAAACTCATTGGGCTGAGGTGAAATGGGTCTTGAGCTCTCCTCGGCGCCGTCAGACTCCTCCATAATGACATGTATTTGGGGAGAGAATGGACGGCGGTGATGCGGGACAGCCTCAGGATAGACCGAATCCAGCGGTTGGGGCAAATCAAATTCCTTGTAGAGCCCGGCTTCCTGTTCGCTCAAGAAGGTTAACGGGCTCCCCGGAAATGTTCCTGGGGTACTCGGAGTGGACGCGATGCTCGAGGCAGAGTAAGTGAGCGACTCCGCGCAAGAGCTTGTTGAGGACGGGCTCCGACAGTGACCCAGCGCATCGTGGCCGAACCCCGCACTTGGTGATGGGAGCTCTTCTATCTCGCTAACAGAAGCTGCTAGGCTTGAGCTTCTTGTCCTTTTGTGAAACGGCATTGCTAGACGTTTGGGGGAATCGAGCCACGAGAAGGGAATGGTGTGGGAATAAGGAAGCTCCTCATCTTCCGTAGGATGGGCCAGATGCGCAGACATGTGGATAAAGCGGCAGCAGTAGAGATGACTTGAAGTGGGTATAGGATATGTTGAATGAAGCTTTGAAGTAATAATGAGGTTGCTAATTGATTGGCGTTTGGTTCAAGGCAGCAAGTAGTTCGAAAGTGTCGATGGATCACAAGAGATCAACGGAAATCAGGTTGCAAGAATGACAAGAAGGACGGTTCCTCCCGACGTCCCTCAAGAAGTCAATGAAGGCGGGCTCTCCACCTGCGCCGTGGTTCGCATCCCGTCTGTCGGCAGGCAGCCAACGTCATGGTAAGAAGTGGAAGAACTGGCGCAGGCTGCCTTCTTCCCTCTCACCCATTATTAGCCCTGCAGCCCAGATCCTGCAGCGATTGAAGATCGCTGATTCGCTTATGGAGATCACCATGAGCTGCTGATGGCGGGTTGGCTGTGTCTTTCATTGGCCCTCCTGACAAACCCCTGCAGTAGATGGCTCTCCCGTTTCAGGGGACATTAAGAAGATGATGGGAGGGCCCGGTTGGCTCCTTGGAGGGCAGGCCCTAGATCAAAAGACAACCAGTCGGCGAAATCAAGGGTTTTCGAAACTCGAAATTACTTCGCTTGGTGGAAACATTGTGTTCATGAGATGTTCCATGACAGTTCACAGGGCTGCAGGGGTTGTCGCTCCCCACCCCCGACCCCTTCTTCCCGGGTCGGCATCCCAGAAGACTTGTCTCTTGGTGCAATTGTTCATGAAGCACTGACTGCATGGGTGGCAATCGTTCTTGAATTTGATCGTGAGTGCGGTCTGATGGTGAAGTCCATCGAGTCGTATAGGGACTGTTCGGGATATAAAGGAGAAATGAATCTCTTCTGATTGGAAGCAAATGATGGAAGAGAAATCTAAACAAAGTTTCCTGTATCACTGTCTTCGATAAAAACGAAACCATCTTGCGCGCACAAATGGCTGATCGTCGCGACTCAATGCCGCTGTCCAGCGGCTGCACATCAACGTATGCAACCTGGTCCAACGCCCCGATCACTGGTCTGCCACGTACAGATTGCTAACCCTAAGTGTCCAGTAGCAGCAGCAGACCCGTAGATGGCGGCGCTAGTGGCATGCTGGACGCCTTCATGTACGACACGTCGTCGATCCAGGAACGGCTCTTATTCCCTTCATCTGCAGCCTGTCAATCGTCGAGAAACGCGAGCGTCTTGGCCGTGATCTCGCGGTGTGACTCTTTGATGAATAGCAGCTCTAATAGCAGCTGCGGGAATTCTTCCGATCTTGTTCTCTCGGAGTGAATAATTGGGCGGAAGCAGTGGGGAGGGTCCGGCCTGGACCAAGCAAAGCTCCCTTTTCCCTTTCCACAGAACCACGACCAGCGATGGTCCCCAACCCTCGATCCCGCCAGCCAAACCTCCAATTGTATCCGCATCCGACTCTTCAGACCTCGATCTATTGCATGCGTCTTCAAGCATATTCACGAGTCAGCTTGCATCTCTTTCCCCGGATAATGACGATTTGGAACCAAAGAATGGGAATAGACTAGGCCAGCATCCCTGCCGGGCCAAATTATTCCCACCACCCAAAGCTTCCCCAAAAGAGAACCGCAACACCACATTGGTCTCGTATAAGTACGACCCAACCCTCCCAAAGTGCCTCCCATCAACCTCACGGACGCATGAAGACGGAAGCGAACCATAAAATGCGCTCGAATATATAATCAAACCTCCCGGGAAAGTAGCCGGATGACGAAGACGGTCCTCCCGCAGAACAAATGCAACTCTCGGCGAAGGAGATGCCGCTCTTCGCGGGGGTGGAAGAGCATAAGCCCGGTCTGATTAGATGACCGACTTGATGGTCGAGGTTTTGGACATCTTTAGGACTCCTATTTGAGCGCAGAGCGAACAAGAGAAGGAGAGATTCTCCAGAGGACGCAAAGTATAAAGGAACCGGCAAAGTCGTGCTTGGGGCACTTACAACCCGGAAACTCGTCATTAGCATCAAACCCAGTTTCGAAGATTTTTGTTTCTCGGGAAAAAAAAAAAAAAAAAAAAAAACCAGCTCCATAACACCATGCGTCTCTCGCTCGGGGTCCTCGTCGCTTCCTTCACGGCCGCCCTGGCGGCTCCGGCTCCCGAAGCCGAACCAAACACCATCGAACGACGCGCCCCTTCTTGCAACATCGTCAGCGATGCCTGCTACATCAGCTGCGCCGGTGGAAGTGCATACCTCAACTGTTACGGTTCTTACGTATGTCACATGGCACTTCACATCTTGTTAATGGCCCGTCATGGCTCGCCGTACTAATGGATCCATCTCATGGGCGTGTAGTGCGTGGCTACAGGAACTGCTGGCAATTATGGATACTGCAAATGCAAGTGTCGTTACGGCTAGGCTAGATCTCGGAAGAGGATATTCACAGTCAGATAAAATGAGAAAGAAAAGAAAATAAAAAATGTATTCATTGAGCGCTGTATTGTCCCCGTCTAATTCTGTATATATGTATATATCAAGATCTCGAAGTGAATGATAACACGGCTCAAGTATCCCTCCAGAGTAGAAATGATGCTCAAACGCCATTCGCAACAGCCCGCCTGAGCTGGCCCCCAGAAATAATCTGCCCAAACCCAAATCAAAGGATGTAAACTCAGAAGAGATGAACCCCCTCAACCCTCGCCGAAAAAGGAAGGAAAAATAAAGTTTCATGATGGGTATCATAACGTGATGTTTTCCCTTCAATATCACTCGTTTATAAGAAGAAATGTAGGAAGAGAAAAAAAAGAAAATGAAGACAGAGAGGGAAAAAAGCGACTCCTCACCATCCCTGATACAGCCACCATCCTAAGACGATGGCTACCATAAACGTACCAAGGATCAACGCCCCCTCTTGAGTACTCCACAGAAACATACTCCATCCGGCCATTACTTCCTTCTTCCTTGCTGCTGCTCGTCGCTCCCAGGCCTCCGGGTCGATTGTCACAGGCAACTTCATGCGAGGATCCAAGTTCCATTCTGCCACCGTTGCTGCGCTGACCCCATCCTCGAGTTCCTTCGGCGGGATCAGGTCTACCTTGTCGATGACAGGAACCTCCACTCGCAGGAAAACGGGCCGATGGTCGCTTGATGACACAACTGGCATGCAGTCATAGCTGTGAACCTTCATCTCGGGGGTCGCCTTGGACAGCCGAGCCTTCGTCCACGGAGCAATGTCGAGGTAAAGAATCCGATCGGTCCAGGAAGGATACCTATGCGGGGCAAATTTCCAGCGGACATTGAGAGGGTCTCTTAAGGTGGACGACTCGGCGGGCAAAATGTCATACTTGTACGTTGGGGGAAACTCGATCCTGTGCTCCGAGAGTCCGTGAAGGGTCCGACCAGAAAGGCGCTCCCGAGTGAGCTGGTCCAAGGGCAAGAACTGCGGGTAATAGTGCTCAGACTCCGGGTCCAGGCTTGGGAAGTCCGCATCTGGCGGGGGTGATGTGGCAGATATCCGGTAGTTCAAATCTCCACCGACGAAGAGATGCGACGTGGGTTTGAAGACCGAGATGTCATGCAGTCGCTGCTGCATCAAGATACTCTCCTCATTAACTTGATTGTGCAAAAGACGTACAGCCTCTTCAACACTAGCACGTCCATTCCCGGCCTCTTGGGCGTCGGCGGAGGACGAAGCGCCGCCGGACGAGGAGCCACTTGGCTTCCTAGGCTGAAGGATCTTCTCTGGGTTGTCAAAGGTCATGCTTCGCATGATTGCCGCCCAGTTCGCGTTCCGCCTCGCAAGGTTCCACTCCATGGCAGCAAGATGCGTCGCGACAAAAGTCATCTCTGAACTCTTGTCGCTTCCAACTCCCTCATACACGATCCGCAGACCAACCGCACCCTTGTTTCCCATCTCCGCGGCGCCGAAGCCGACTTCTGCCTCCTGCACGTCCGCCACGGTTTTCGGATCCCGCGCAAAAAGGAGTATGGCGGTCATACCGACATTCTTCGATCGCACGAGCGTATACACCGGCGGCGCCACCAGGGTCGCACGGGTGAGGGGCGAGATGGCCCCATCGCCGCCGGGAGCGTCTTCCAGAGCCTCGGGGTTGTTCAGGACATCGGCGGCGAGGTTAAGGGCCTCTTCGTAGCGTGTGAGGTAGGGGTTGAGAAAATACGATCCGATGAAGGAATACGCGATCGGGGCTACTTCCTGAAGCGAGCTAAATCCAAGAATACGAATGATTAGCGAACAATCGGCTTGCGAAACACAGTAATCCCGTGCTCGAATACGACCAAGATAGCGTCGTCATTCCCTAAAAGTACCCCGCCACCACCATCGCGTGACACGATTGAAGGGTTGGACTCTCTGTCTTAGAAAGAGGGTGGGTGTGTCACGGGGTGCAAAGCAAGCAGGAAAGACTCACAAGACTACGAGATCCGGCAGCTCCGCCCGCTGTTTCAGTGCGGTATGGAGATGGGTCGCAAATACGGGCACGTCGATAAAGTTCTTCGCGCAGTTGAAGGTGAGGAAGAACACGTCGACGGCCGTCGAGGGGGTCATGGTCGAGGCGGACGAGGACCGGCTTTCACCAGCAGTAGCAGACACTGGGACGGAAACGGAGGCGATCTTGTCTGCGGTCGCTGGCGCTGGTTGGGCGAGACTTGGAGTTTCTTGGGGGTGGGGCGCTTTTGTGCGGCGGAACATTCCGGTTCAGCAGCCTGACTGGCGTGGATTTTCAGTTCTGGTGTCTTTCGATTATAGGCGCTACTGCCCAACAAAGTGAGAATTTCCAGGCCTTTCTCTGTGTAATTGTTCGATTGGGGTTTAGCCCAGCTTGGAGAGAGCAAAGTACTTGTTGTCAATCTCCTCTCGTCAGGTTTGTGGTTGCACGGATCTCAAAGGGGGAAGATGGCACGAGCGGCGGATCATTGTAATTATATAGACGAAGGTGTCAAGCTTCACGCCTGAATCCTCCTTATGCAGTAGCTCCTTCCTGTTCACTGTTCACGCGTTCCCTCCTTCCGCCTCCAAGTCGATGCAGGCAGCAGGTGCCCTCGACTAAGCTGCCTCCACTTGTGGAAGGAGGGAGCCTCAAGCTAGAAAGCCGCGTGATGACTTGTCCCAATGCATCGATTGATGGATTGATGGATTGATGATATTCGGGTGTACAGCCACGAAAGCTCGTTCTCGATATCCACGATTTAGGAGGGGGTTGGAATTGCAATGGACCCTGCTGACCCTGTTGACCCTGCCCCTTGCCTCAACTGTATGTCCGGTAGGCTGGGAGAGGAGAGGAGGGGGAGGGAGCTGAATCCATATGTAGGAGGCTGCGCTAGCCTGGCATCCGGACCAGAGCCTGGCTAATAAACGACAACGACTAGAAAGACCCTTGGGCATTCACAGCCACGCTTCTGCGGGGAACCACTTCTCGAAGAGGCTGGCTTATAAGCTATGACTGTTGCTTTCAAAATGGATTATTATATTTTCTGTTAGCTTTGCATCAAGCTCTAGAAATTATCTACAGGGGTCCGTAGCTCTGTCCCTCGCCAGCCCATGACGCGAGGACAGCCACCATTCACCGAGTCCTTCGATATCTGCAGGTTCCAGCCAAACGGTCTCATCTCCCAGACCTAATCTGAGACTTGAACCCATCGACGGTTTATAATATTCCTCTCTGACTCGGGACCCAGATCAGAGGCAGAAGTAGGTCTAAAAATCTCTAAAATAATGGTCATATTTCGCCGCCATCTCGTCGGTATAAACGACGCGTCGCCCGTCGTCTTCCGGGTATCGATCAAAACACTGCGTGTCGTCCGGCGCCTTGATCGGAGGGATGATTGGACCATTGGTCCGCCGATGGTAGACATCGTCCCAATTCACGTCACGGAAGAACGGGTGTTCTTTAATCCTTGCTGCGCCTCCGCTTATGTTGCCTAACCTCTTGGATCGGTCCACTGTGCAGAACTGTCGGATGAGATCTTTGGCTTCCGCCGACAAGGCCGGTTCGCTGGGAAAGACAACAGCCTTATCCACGATCCTAGTTTCGTCGGAGCGGTGTGACGCTGGTGGTTAGCACAGCCCACTCACACCCTGCAGTAGCTGACGAGATGACTCCATGCAGCATTTCGATAGCTTCTAGGCTAGGTCCAGCGGAAGAGGGGAAATACAACTCACTGTTTGTAGATCTCGATGGGATTCTGGTGCCAGAATGGCGGATACCCCGTCAAGAACTCGTATAGTAAGATCCCCAGCGCCCACCAGTCAACTGCTGTCGTATGCCCCTTGTTCTGGATCACCTCTGGTGCAAGATACTCCGGCGTACCGCAGAGCGTGTATGTCTCGCCGGGCCTGTCGCCTTCACGGCCGAGGCGCTTCGCGAAGCCAAAGTCTACCAGCTTAATATGGCCATCCTTATCGAGCAAGAGGTTTTCGGGCTTCAGATCTCGGTAGGCGACCCCGCCTTGCGTTTCGTGGAGGTACTCCAAAACGAGGACGAGCTCGGCTATATAAAATCGAGCAGTAGGTTCATCGAAACGCCGCATCCTCCTCAAGTATGTGAAAACCTCTCCGCCGGGAATATAGTCGAGTAACATGTAGACGCTGTCGCGGTCGGAAAACGAGGCTATAAGTCGCGTAATGAAAGGGTGTCCGCTCACGTCGCTCAGGACAGCACGTTCGTTGCGGACATGGTCCAGCTGTTTTAACCGGATAACTGCGCAGAGAGAGGTCAGAGAGGAAACTTGGTGGTTGGACTGACAATGGGCAACGGGCAGCCGCAGCCATAAAGCCTGGGGATAGGGCGACGAGCGGTGACATCAAAGGATCGAGTTACCTTCAGATTTGCGGAGTATTTTTAGGGCATATACGCTGTCATGGTCGTCTTCGGGGGCGTCGGCGGGCTTCACGAGACATACTCGAGCAAAGGTGCCTAGGTACCGATGGTGGTTAGCTGATCCTTGGAGACAGGCACCTTTTTGTGAAATGAGGAGATCGCGAACCCGTTCCCAGAGTCCTTATGAGGCGGAAATCCTTCAGAGACACCTTGGGCTGGCCGTCACTCGATCGTGACGCCGATCCGACTCCGTTTTGATGCGCATCGCTAACTGCACCAGCTCCGAAGGGCTGCGCTAGCGCCGCGAGGACGGGAGCGGCAGCAGCGACGTCGCTTGGCATTCGAAGACGGCCGAAGGTTTTATCGAACTTGGAACGAATGGAGCCGGCAGAAAGCCGAAAGGGGTTCGAGCTTCGAGACGTCGTGGTGGCGGGTTGAGGATTCGGGCGCTCAGGCTCGACAGGGACCCATTACAGGAGTCTCCTGCGAATACCTTGGGCGCTGCGAAAGTGATGGCCGAGCCAGAGGTTTAAGGGGAGTGGGAGAGTTTTAACACGTCGGATTGATAGCACAATTGAAACCCAATGCAATGCGTCAAAAAAGATCAAGGTTTCCCTTCATTCGGGTTCGGCTGCGTCAATTGCGAATGTGATGTGATGTGATTTGATGGAGGGGTCTCTCGACTAGGCTCTCCAGCTGGCGCGGGACTCGAGCATTAGAGGGGTGACTTCGGTAAGGGGTGGCATGGTAGCTTCAGCGGCTAGAGGAATTACACTTAGGATGGGAGACAAGACGATGGAAGGGACGGAGCCCACCGCTCGGCCAATCCAAGGAGAGTAAGGTTGGATTGACAATGAGCGTTGGGACTGCAGAAGAGTGGTTTCGAATCGGGCCGGGCATTGGAGATATTTAAGTAATGGTGCAGAGGCAGACTGCCACCTCTCTAATGTCTCCTTCGTGCCTCTGCGGCTGCGTCCGATCAAGGTTAGGTTCCATGCCCCGAGCCCCATCAGTGTTCGCGGGGGTTCGCAATGGCACAGCGGGGTACTCATCAAATGCTCATTCTCACGACAAGTCAGAGTACGAACTACGAGGTAAACCCCCCCAAAGTGTCAATCAAAATCGGGACAACAGTTTCTGTTGGTGCAATTGCTTACCTTCGTATGCGCCCTTCAGCACCCGATAGAACTCGATGCCAGCCATGATTGGCTTGGTGCGCAGCCAAGAGATATGACGCAACAGCTCGAGGCGTGATCGCATCCTCTCCTGCTTGTTCCGCACCCGAGCCTTCTGATAAAGTGAATTGATCCTGCTAGCGGCTGCTTAAGGTCTTTTTCGCGTGCTTTGTAGAGTTACCGATCGGAATATGTCCCCTGGTCACCTCATGTTCCGCTGAAAAAGATCTCGGTCAATAGCTCAGAGGAAGCAAGCGCTTGCAGGCGGCACTTCGCTTCTATCTTCTGCCGCGCAGATGGAGCGTCGGTTGATGTTGATGCTGTGAGGCCGGAAGGGGGAATCCCCGGATGGATCAGATCAAATGAGGCCGAGCACGCGGCGTTCCAAATAATAAGACGGCGGGCGATACTCGGGGATCCCGACCGATTTCGAAGTGCATGACGTCTGTCACGCCCATACTTCGGGAGTTTAGATTCTCCTGCCCTTCCAGGCTACGAACCGATGCATTGCAACAAGATGTCGACGTCGTTGTACCACCCTGCTAACACAAACCGAGAGCCTCGAAAGGGAATCCATGCCTGTCCATGCACGAATAAAGAGCGCCCGCGTAATGTTACCCAATGGGTAAATCTGTTGTTGTCAAGTCTGGCCTGCGAATAGAGCTCAACGGACCGACTGATAAGAGCTGCAACTGTCACTATGATGCGGTTTACCAAGCAAACGGGTCGGCACCTTCGCCGCCCCTATTTGCCCTATTGGCGATTGCCGACCAGGGGAGAAGAGATTGGGAGCTACACTGGAATAGGAAACGAATTGTTTTCGGATGAAAATCATATCATGGCCATTTGCTATCGTCAAATTGACCAGGACATGAGCTTCTGGACTGGGGCGGGGGGACATGAGACATCGCGTCGTCGAGCAAACACTGATTCCCCTGGTGGCTGACCGAGGATGGCATCGGATGGCCTGGCGCCCCAGGAGGCAGGCAGATGAGAGATGCAAATGGCATCCTTATTTCACGGGGGATCAATCCTGTATTACGATATCTATCAAATCAAAGTCTGAGGTAGCTGGCTGAGAGTCCCGCCGCTATCAAGCCAGAATCATCCACTGTTCAAGCTGAGAGACCATTAACAGTGGTACACTCTTGTTCTTGGAGGGGAGATGCCGGGACGCTTCAGTGTGTTGTTGATTGTTCAACATCTCCAGGGGCTAGAAACTGAGGGGGATTGATTGATGTTAGAGCGCACGAAGTAAGCACAGACACAGGTCATCAGCAGGATCAAATCCATGTGCAGTCTAATATTGTGCAGTCACGGCTAGCAATGTGTACCTATAGCACCTGTAAGATATTCCGTATAGACAGGTACCACAGATATAGAGGTACCTCAATCCGCCTTGCTGCACTAGACCCCAGGTCATTAGTGCTCCGCTGTTCTTGATGCGTTCTTACCGCCTAGCCCCACCCACTGAGCGAATGAACTATCCGGTGGGTTGGCTCTGGCTGCTCCTGCCACAAGGCTGCCTCTGCCGCATCCTCAATGCTCCCTTGACCAATTCCAGCTGTAGGTATTGCGAATGCCAGCATTCGACCGTTTGCTGCCCCTCCGAGATCATCTCGACTTTCATACCTATTTTCCAAAGTGTCCATTTCTCCTTTTTCCATTTCATTCTTTTTGTTTCAACCGCATTCGCCTGTTCCCGGACCTGTCGCTCTTGGCTTAGCTACCCATCACAATTACTGTCGTGATTCGTTCGCCCCAAGGAGCCAGCAGCTCAGGTTGCTCAACATCCTCCCCCTCCTTACATCCTTCACCGTGATGACCGCGGGCCGAGCCCACTGCGAGTCATGTTGAACAACTTCACGAATTTCGTTCAAAAGGCTCAGCAGCTGATCGATTCCACCCAAGGGTTGAATCTTTCCGACCCGGACCGAAATCCGTCCAAGGCCGTCCTCTTCCAGAGCCAGTTCCGTCTCCCTTCGTCCCAAACGCCGCTCCACGAAATCAATGCCGAGTTGACTATACCTGCCTCCAATGTCACCCACGGGGACAAGGCCCAAGATGCTGGCTGGCACTACGCTGGAAAGCTTCACCTCTCCGAATCGTTCATGTGCTTCTCCACCACCCCGAGCAGCTTCGTTCACAGCGCCAGCACGACAACGTCATCGCTTTTCACCGCCCAGACATACGGCGGCGGCCCTAGTGGCAACGGATTCACATTTCCTCTATGTGCGATACGCCGGGTAGAGAGGCTTAATAGTCAGAACTTCCAGGTGGGCATATTCTCCTCTTCCCCCCCTTTTTCTCTCTCTCTACTCTCGGCACCCTTGCCTACGCCATAGCTAGGCACCAACTCCCTCGTTTGCTGACTCTCCATCACTCACCCAGTTCGCCCTCGCGATAACTACCTGGAACGGCTTCATGCACGACCCACCGAAGGCAAAAGACGGGACCAAGGACACTTCGAATGTAAGGGAACAACGGATAACCATACATCTGGCCAGTACTCGCCAGGCTTGCGAGAGGTTCTGCGATGGCCTCAAAAGGGGCCTGCGTGCCAACGTCGTCAATGTCGCGAAGATGAAGCGGGTGTCCACCCAGTGCTACTCCGAATATTTACTACGTACCGAGGATAGGAAGAATGCCGACCCTCCCGACGCAGGCCTTGGTATGATATTTCGCTACCCAGGCGATCCGAAAAAGATGCGGGATCGAGCCAAAATGCGTCTTTGGGGCGAGTATCTAAGGGACAACGGAAGGAACCTTACTCTGATCCGACAACCCACCTTTCACAAGCTCATCCGTGTCGGTCTGCCGAACCGCCTTCGAGGAGAAACCTGGGAGTTGACGTCTGGATCCATCTATCTAAGACTGGAGAACCCCACCCTTTATACCGATACTCTAACGAAATTTTCTGGAAAGGAATCGCTCGCGATTGACGAGATCGAAAAGGACTTGAACCGTAGCTTGCCGGAATACCCTGGCTTTCAGAGTGAAGAGGGTATTGGCCGGCTACGGAGAGTCCTGACCGCCTACAGCTGGGTCAACTCTGACGTTGGGTATTGCCAGGCCATGAATATTGTTGTGGCCGCGCTACTTATTTACATGTCTGAGGCCCAGGCCTTCTTCCTGCTCTCCGCCCTGTGCGATCGGCTCGTCCCGGGTTACTACTCGACTACCATGTACGGCACCCTTCTCGACCAGAAGGTATTCGAGTCTCTTGTCGAGAAGACCATGCCCATTCTCTGGGAACATCTTGTAAAGAGCGACGTCCAGCTATCCGTGGTCTCCCTACCCTGGTTCTTGTCGCTCTACATCAACTCCATGCCTCTTTACTTTGCCACTCGTGTCTTGGACGTGTTCTTTATTGAAGGACCCAAAGTCCTCTTCCAAGTTGGCCTTGCGATATTGAGGATAAATGGCGAGGAGCTCTTGGATGCGACGGATGATGGCGCTTTTATCTCTGTTCTCAAGTCCTACTTCTCTCGTCTCCATGAGTCGGCTCACCCCAAGTCGGAGAATCCCAAACTCAGGGCCGTTACTCGGTTCCAGGAGCTCCTGGTTGTCGCCTTTAAGGAGTTTTCCGGCATCACGCACAGCACCATTACCGACCTTCGGTTAAAGAACAAGGATGCCGTTCTCAATAATATTGAGAATTTCGCCAAGCGCACAGCCATTCGCAACCTCGGTCCTGACAGCAAGCTGCTTAGCACGGAAGAACTCGGTGCGCTATATGATAGGTTCTACGGTGTACTCTACGAACGCCAGCAGCGGATAAGGATTGTCCAAGAGGAACAGCGTCGCAAAGCTAAATCGAATCGCGGGCGAGTCACAGATCTGTTTCCCGGTGCGCACACGCAAGATCACAGTATAGAAAAGGGTAGAGTCGGCCTCGGCCCTAGCACAAGTCTCATGGACTACGACGCCTTCCGCGAGTTCCTCGCCGGCATCTCGAAATGGGCCATCGCAGATACCCCTCCAACCCCGAGAAGGGACACTTTCGCTGACCGAGATAAGAACTCGTACTACCAGCGTTCAAGGAGACCTTCTGAAGCCCTTTTAGGCCCATGGGGTAGCGGCCCAGAGCCGGCCGACCACGAATTCCTGCAATTGCTGTTCCGGAAATGGGACGTGGACAACAACTCGGCACTGACGCTCCAGAATGTGGTAACCGGGCTCGCAAAGATAAAGTCCAAGCGCGATATCATGGCCACGATCAACTACTTCTTTGATCTCTACGATGACGATGGCGACGGCAAGGTGGATAGGGAGGGGATCTTGCGAATGTCCGAGGCACTGCTCTTCCTCTCTCGGCGAGGGCTCGAGGGCTCGCTGAGCGTTTCTGCTGTTAGCCCGAACGGGGAGGCAGGCGGCAACCCGAGCACGTCGCAGCTCAGTCTCCCCGGGATCTCGAACAATGAAAAATTTCTAGGTAGCGTCAGCGCCTTCATACGGCGCTGCTTCGAGTATGCCGATCCGGATCATCCGAAGAACCTAGAAGCAACCGACGAGGTTCCAGAAACTCCTGAGATTGACAATACCTTCTCTATCGGCGATGACGACGATGAGGATGATGATGATGACCTCCTCGTTTCGTCTCGACCAGCTTCCCCGACAGGCGCCCCGCAACCTGCAAAGAAGCCGCCTGCGCTATCAATCACAACCGACGCGGAACCGCATATTGAACGAAGGGCTTCCAAAGCACATTCCGAGGCTGCAAATGCGGCACTTGATCCGGCCAATCCCTTACATATTACTCTCCCCACATTCCGCATGGTCGTCCTCGCGGATGAGCTACTCGAGCAGTTCTTCGAGTCATCTTTCCCGACCTCCTTCCACATCATCGAGGGTCTCCCGAGCCAGGCTTCCTCCTCTGGAGGATTGACCACATTTGCCAGCCTGGGCTTCGGAGCCCGCGCTCCTGGTACCAGTGCACCCGCCCTTGGCGGAGCCGGCCGCGGACTACGTGGTGTACTGGACAATATCGTGACGGACGGCATGAGGGTTGCTACGGAAGTCAGGAGAAGGATGGAGGAGGCACAACGCGAGCTGGAGAAGAACGCCCAACCTGGTCAACGGCCATACGCCGATGACGACGAGGAGGATGAGGAGGATGGGGGTGCTGGTGCTGGTGCTGGTGCTGGTGCCGGTGCTAACGCTCGTCGTGGAACGGTCGGTTCGACGCTAGACTTTGAGAGGAGGTCCGTGAGGAGTTCGGATCGGGATTTGCTCTCGGGAGCGGACGCCGAGGCGGCTAGCGAAGGCGAGGGATCTAAGGCTGCAGGCGTGCTGTCCTTATTAGATACGGATCCGGGACTTAGCGGGTCGGGTTCTGCGGGGAAGGGCTTGGTGGAGTTTGACGGGAGGAATTGAAAAGAGTTAGGAATCATTACCAGGATGATGTGATGTGTTGCTATATCTTGTCCTAATCCTTCCCTGCCTTTTCTTGGCCCTCCACTCTTTCTTTTGCATGTTTCGGCGTAGTGAGTTGTTTCTGCCTTTTTGTCTCTCTATCTACTTGGGATGGCGCTGTATGGTTATATTGCCTGGAGGAGAGACATGTGCTTGGAAGTTATAACTGCTGGTAGATTTTAGATTCTACGCATTTTGGTGAGGGGAAGTGAGCTTCGAATTATAAAATGAAAAGCAAGCATCAGAGCTATTTCTTTTGTTTTATTTTTCAGAGTCGGATTTTGATGATATCGAAATGAGATCACAGAATCGCGGGATCGATTTCTCCCGGATTGTGAGCTCAAAGTTTTCATTTCTTTACAAGCCATCACAAGATCAGTTTCTGGGTAGTAGGCCATCATTAGAACGAATCGATGGGCATCGAAAACATTTCATTCATACATCCATGGCACCATCTGAGAAACAGTCATCGGAAAAACGCAAAACGAACATCTCAGTCAAGATATCTCCGAGAACAAAAACATTAGACAACATAACAGAGAAGCAATGTCCAAGAGCAAGGCAACTTTGAAATCCGCGTGGTATCATATCAACCATAAAGTCACCATCCCTCCTCCTTCCATATCCCAAAGCAGATAGGAAAGAAAGAAAAAAAGAAAAGAAGTACAAGTATCACCTGTTCACACACACACACACACACATACACCGCCCTCTCCCTTCCCTCGCTTCCATAACACCTAAGATATCCATTCCTCACTCTCGTATCTTGCCCGCCCCTACCTGAAACTCCTACAAAACCGAATCTACTTCTCAAGATGTCCGTCGTTGAGCAGCATCTCCAACACGATTTGCATCCCCGGAATCTCGGGATGGGTCATCCCAATCTTTACCGTCGTCTTCGAATCAATCTGCCCAGACGAAGAGGAAGGGATCCCGCCCAGCGCAGAGGTCGTTCCAGTAGGACCCCGCGCGCCGTAATCCAAACACCTAACATCGCGGCCCGCAATGATCTGCCTCAAACGTCCATTCTCGGCGTTGCGGACCTCGACGTAGTCGTCGTTGAAAAGGACGAGGTACTGCCCGCAGAGCGTGGCGCCCTTCGCCTTCTTCTGCTTGCCCGAGTATTCCATGATGAGCGTGCGGCTGACGTCGCCATGCTTGTCTACGTAGACGGCGCAGTCCTCATATGCGAGGAGGAACTCTTGGTCGTTGAGACGGAACATGCCCAGCGGCTTCTGGTCGCGGATGCGGCTGGCGATGTTGGCGATGGAGGGTTGCTTGACGTCGGGGATGGACATCGGTTGCTTCTTGTCGAGCGTCAAAAGCTCGAAGCCCTTGGAGGTGGCCACCGCAATGTACGTCTGGAACAGGTTCAAAGAATAACACTCAGTTGGGAAGAAGAACTCGTCGTAGTCGCGGAATGACTCCGTAGATCCCGACTTCCGGCTGCTGCCAAGCCACCTAGACTTCTTCTCCGTGGTCCGGTGGAAGACGGGCTCTAGAACCTTGAAGAAGGTATTGTGGACACCTTCTTTTCTCTTGTAAAAGACAAGCATACGCTCCTTCATGCGTGCAGCCGCAAAGAAGGAGACATCCTTGGCAAGGCGCTGAGGCGCCCGACGAGGATTGTCATGCAGTGGCGCCGGGAAGTTGGACACGGGAGCAACAACATCCAGTGGATAAGAGATCAGGGATCGGTCGGCGATGATTAAACATACAGAGAACTCTTCTAGCACAGCGATTTGTGTGACGCGCTGAGCGGGTACAGTCTGTAATTGCAACATGTTAGTACTAAAAGAAAAAAAGAAAGAAAAGAAAAAAGCCGAAAGTGAGGGAGACAGACTCTCTGCCAGCCACGGGGATCCGTAGCATCGGATATAAACACGCCGTAATCTGTACCGATCGCGATAATGGACTTTCCATACGCCGAGAATCCGGTCGCACAATTCACCTGGGCTCGGCAAACGGGAGGTGGGCCTCGCCCTGGGCCATACACCGACTCGAGGTCTCTTATCGCCCGGTCAAGTGGAGTTCCCTCGATGGGGACGCCTGGTTGCTTCCCTATGGCTGCTATTCCATCGTACGCGAACGCGCTGTCAGCGAGCACGCGCAGCCTGAACGGTTCGGCGTTCTGCGAGAATAGCGCCTTTGCATGACGGGTCTTTGCCTCTATGATCTTGTTGCACCAATCCTGTCTGACCTGGGGCGTGGGCGCGTACAGAGTGTACATGTCGTGGCCCAGATGCTTGATTCGGAAAGGATACATGATACGGCCCTCGGGGTCAGTCGCCAGAGGCTGACCTAGTCGAGGCACGGTCGTCGCCGAAGAGGTCGGTTCGAGGCCAGGCCTGTCACTGCCATTGGTGGCTATCTTGTTGAGCTTGGTGTCGGAGACGGAGGTTGTAGTTCGACCTAGTGGGGCCGCAATACGGTTTTGCTTCGCCACAGCATCGTCGTTGGTGCTTTCAAGACACAGGAGAGGCATCGGTATGGGCTAAATTTAGGGAGGTTAGATGTCAGCCAAATATTATCTTCCATCGGACCAGAAATACAAGGCGGGGCGGGGGCTTACCTCTTTTGAAACGTCATATTTCTTCTCCCCTCGTCCGTCCTTCAGACTAACAGTCTTTGCCAGGATGAGGTAATGGTCAAACAGGAGAGCATGCGTCTCTACCCATCTGACACCCTTGGAGCCCATCCGTTGAAGATCGCCCTGGAATAATAGCTCCCGTCCCAAGTGATCGAGGTGAAGCATAGCTTGGAAACCTGGCCTAAGCACGAGCATCGAGCTAAGCTCCATCATCTCAACCTTCTTTTGCATCTCTGCCACCCTCTGATCGCATTCCAGTGTTACTGCGTGAATCTCTTGAATGGCCTTGGTGAGATTCGTCTTTTCTTCACTATCCTGCAGCATGTTCTTCTCCACAGTAGTGAGAAGGAAACTGTACCGCTGCAGGCGCGTAATGGGAGTCTTGAGGAAATGGGTCCAGTCCAGGCGTTCTGAGCGTTTATGATTTCGTACTTGCTCAAGGAACTGCCTGAAGAGAATGTTACGGTCGGCTTCCCGCCTAACCAAGAACGTTGCGTACGGGTAGGATGATGCGTATTCGATATAGACATCCCGTGCTTTTCGAATCCACTCGCGGAATAGATCACTAAAACCGACAATCCATGGGCCCTGCTCTTGTTGACGGTATTTAAGCTGTGCAAGTAAGTGGTCTTTGTTGGTTTCTTGGACACCATCGACTTTCCCGAAAACGGTCTTGAGGAACTTGTCGATCTTGGCAGGTGCAATGATGGGCGGCTGAAGAGTGCGCAGACGATCTCTATAGAGTACCCTCAACACTTCGAGTTGGTTCATGTAGCCCTCCTCACTCGTGACGATCTCGTGAAGCACATTCTGCCGTTCAATCTCCTTCTTGTGTTTGCCCTCGATGCTTTCCTTAGTGAGCTTAAAGAACGTCGCCCAATCTTCTTGTTTCACCGAGTCCTCGGCCAACAGATCATCGAGATTCGCCTTCTTTAACGTGCGAGTGCAATGGTACGAATAGCAACGGCCCGGAGATTCACACTCGTGTAGTTTAGGCGCATAGCAACCTGAGGCTGACAGCTGCCACAGAACACCAGATATCGACCCCGGTGCGAACTTCACCCATTCCTCCTCGGGCACCAGGATACCGGATTCCAGCATCATGGTCACCACTCGAGCAGAGAGTGTCTCGGCATCGGCAACATTCATTGTTGGAACTTTGCTCGTGAACAACTTGATAAGGCCTTCCTCAATCGTCTTCTTTTTCAGGTCAGGCTCGCCTTCTGTCATTTCCCGCATCCAATTGGCAATGCTGCTAAGAGCCCAGGGTTCGGCGCATCGCTTGAGATCCTGAGAGGTCAGCTTCGAGGGGAGGAACTTGCGTTTGCGGCCCGTGGGTAGTGTTATCATGTCGTAAGTAACAGCAGAACCGGTTTCGTAGTCGAAAGAGGCCGAGTTTTGTTTCCCGTGTTGGGCTTGGCGATACTGTCGCCTTCTTTCCTCTGCGGCATCGGTCCTAGAACGAGATGGAGTCTGGACGGGTGGGGTGGTGGTGTGGCTAGTGAGTGAGATGGATCTTTCGACCTGGGTGTGCGCCGGTCCGGATAGAGCATTATATACCTCCAGACCCTCCTGGCCTTGTCCACGGGAGTCCAAACCCCATGATTGATCCTGCTGATATTGGCCTTGGCTAGTGGTCGCGGCTGGCTGAAGTGATAGTGTGTCAAGCATCGGCAAAGCGGGTAATGGCCGGTTTGATAAACCAGGGTGGTAGAAGATATCGGGATAGTCGTCCTTGTATGGCGATTCGCTCCCGCTCTGCCTTGAATGCAGCGAGGCCTGTTCCTCTCCATCTTCCGCTGGCGGACGGTACGAGCTGGCAGGCTGGAGCCCGCCGGCTCCGGGGTAGTCCATATCTGCCTGTGGCAAAGCCTGGGCAGGGCCCCCCTGGCCTTCATAGCCTCCGAACAAGCCATACGAGGGAAGAGCAGGTAATGGTCTATCGTCTGTCAAGCCAACATCGTTTCCGTACGTGAGGTTGCCTGCATAGCCCCCACTGAACAAGCCAAGGTCCATGCCTCCAAAATCACTGTCGCTACTTTCTTCGTCATCCTGCCTCCTCCCACCGTGATCCGAGGGTACCGGTATCAGGTCCGCATGCGGGTATGGAGCACCACTAAACCTTCGGTCTTCCATCTCGGCTTGCTGCATAGCCAACACACCTGCCGTCCCCTCAGGATCACTTTCTTCCTCGAGTCGATACGGGTAGCGAACATTCGATGCCGAAGATTGTACCTGAACGGAAGTTGATGCCCGGGTTGGATCAGATGTGGGAGTATTGGGATCGTATTGCCGAAGGTGTTCTATATCTTCGTCTGATAATTGGGCTCCGTTAATTGGCGTAGGCCGGTCGCGACGTACAGATCCCCCCAATTCTGCCTCAATGTCCTGGATAATCGTATCTTGGGCTAGTAGTTCATCAGTTAAATCGTCATCTCTCGCAGCACCATTTGAATTCCAGAGCAGCCCATCCTGATGCGCGTCGATGGGCCGGCTTGGAAGGGGAGCATTTGTGGGATGTCGCTGGATGCCCGAAGATGATTGCGGCGGCGGAGATGGCAGCTGCGAGGTGCGGGAGTTTGATCGAGAAGTCCTATTGTAAAACGAAGTTGGATCGTTCACAGAATAACCGGGTCCAGCAGGCATTTGTGAGACGTGGGGATACGGCGCGGAATCGCTCGCTGCAGAGTAAGGGGTGGTGAGGGCGGGACTGTTGGTGTTCGGTGAATACGTGCCGTAGGGAGTGCTATTGTAAGAGGGGGAGTAGGCAGACGGATCGTAACTCGAAACTTGGGAAGATGACGACACATTGTGGAGCGGTGGGCTCGGCAATGGGTTCTCGTACTGGGGTGTGGCAGGCGTAGTCGCTTGGCTTGAACTTGGAAAGGCAGGTGAGTATGCAGTACTGGGCGAGCCATATGCCGCCTGCGACGGCGCGTAATGCGAAGAGTAGTTGTTGTAACCGTGGTATGTCGCATTCCTTTGGGGAACCGCTGTGCTCGCATAGGCGGCTGGATTATATGCTTGGGGGGTGTAGTTGGTCGTGGACTGCCGCAGAGCCTGTTGGGTCAGGGAGCTGCTAGGTTGGATGAGATTGGAATATTGAGGCTGCTGGGCAGGATGATATGGTAAAGACGTCGACTGCGACCTTGCAAAATGCTGCGGATTGTAGGACGACGGGGATGAGAGCTGGTAGGGGGAGGACGGCTGATATTGGTTTTGGTAGGACGGCGCGAAGTTGCTGATCGAGGAGGAAGGTTCAGTTGGGCTCGTCAGAAACAGCTCTTCCTCCCCTCGTGCGGGTGGCGGCGGTGGCAGTAATGGCGCATTCTGAAAGACTTGAGATGACGACTGTGCCGATCCAAACAGAGCGGCATCATCACCTTGATTGAAACTAGGCCGTCGCGTTGGATAGGAAGCATGGTCATTCGACTGGTTTGCGACCGGATACTGAACAGGTGGAACATGGCCGTAGCGGCGCTGATCATCCCCTCGGAACGACATAGTTATCTGTGTCCTCGATAGACTCTCCTCGGTCCGTTGTTTGTCGATGAAATGGCGAGCCAAGCCAGCGGCTCCAAGAGTAATCAAAAGATGAGTCGCTCGTTCACTCCGTTGCTAGGTCGGGCGAGAGGAGATTGTGTTCGTGGATGGTGTTGGTTTGGGGGAGTTTTCCGTGTGTAAGCACACTTTGTTGTAGGCAGCAGGTCGAATGGTAGTCACTCCATCGGTCCTTCCGTGAAGGAAAATCACCACGAAACGACTTGCGCAGGACGGGTTGTGTTGAAGGGCTCGTCAGGATGCCGCAAGGCAGAGACGGCTCGCCAGCCACAATTAGGACGACTGGAAGGACTGGGGCACTGTCGGAGGTAGGCGTCGGCGTGGGCGGGGTGTGTATGAGACAGGGCAGGCAGATGCAGACGTTCGCAAAGTATCTCAAGAGGGATTATCCTCGATGCTGCGGGATCGAAGACGACCCAGCAAAGAGATAGATTTTATCGGCCGATGTAGGTGTTTTTGGCTCTCCCGCTGACCACAACAATTTTGAAGTGGAAGCTGTTGTTTCGTGTGTCTGCAGGCAGGCTGGGGTAGAGGATGGGTTCAAGACGAGTGGTAGGAGAGCCAGGCCAATCGAGGTGGTGTCCTGGACCAGGCGTGGAGGTATGTGCGTCGAATGCCCGCTTGTGCGGTGCGAGCGTTGTTCTCAGAGAAGCAAGATTTGAAGTACGCCGTACCTAAAACTTCACTACGAAGTACACTACGAAGTAACTAGCTTAGGGTGGGCGGCAATTATAGTAGGTAGAACCAAAGCTAAAAAAAACCGTTCAATGTTCTTTTGGGGACTTGGGTGGGGACGGAAGGAGGGCATTACACGCCAAAAGGCAGGGACAAGTCACGAGTCACAACAACGATTGTACTTCGTACTTCGTCGTGTAATTGCCTCAGTAATTGTGTCTTACCCAGGGAAGGAACGTTGAACCCATTTATTACTCATGTTGCCAGCACGTTCTTTCTCCGAGTCTTGACGCTCATGGAGATATCATTAATACCCGTTATCCACGTGCTGTGATTTTTTTTTTTTGCGCTTCAGATCAAACAATCTGATCGATCGATGCTAATTCATGGTGCTCGTATTGGACGCACATGTACCCAGCGACTCTCGTGTGAAAAAGTCCTACAGCGTGGTGTATCCACCAAGAGTTGGAACAACGCCCATGATCGTATTCCAAGCCAAGCAAGCATCGAATCCAGAGCAACTCCTTTGGACGCGTCAGAGGCGATATCTTTTCCTGGCTACCTCACCACCCAAGCGGGAGAGTCGTCCCGAGTCCGAGGCACAATATTCTCCAGGCCCAGCGACAAGGGAACAACACTCGAATTGATATTAAAGGACGGAGGCACATTAACAAAATGCCCCTGTCATGGAGGAGCAACTGCAACGTTGGAGTCCTGCATCAATACACGGGTATAGTTTACGACTTACGTGTTCGCACACTTCTGCCAAGACGTTCCAGGTCAGATATCCCCGGCTCATACGGAGGTCCTAACCAAGACGCGATGCAGTCAGACAACATGAGCGCAGTCAAGACAGCACAGCGACCCCAAAGTGTATAAAATCGTTTTCTTAGCCAATAAGCTTCAATGTTTCACCACTAGGCTATTTTCCAGGTAATGTCCGGAATTCCTTTTGATAGGCCTCATGTCTGCTGGATATTGGATTTCGCTTTGCATATCTGTTGGAGGGGTAGATGAGACTATCTTGTCAGTATATCGTGTGAAATACTGACATTCAGGTAATCTTTTGGCATTTCTCAACTGCATCAATAGTTATTCTCCTTTAGCCATCACCTTATCGCATCATGAGGCGACAGCCAGCCCCGTCGTTTCCTATCCTAGTCACCAACCATCCATCTCAGTATGGCTTTCCTAACACGTAATTATCGGTTTGCAATACGCCTACCCTCACTTGGCCAGTCTCAACAAGGAAAACTTGCATGCCCACGCCAGCAAAATCTCGCATGTACGTGCAAGGTGCAAGCCAGGGATGTCATAAGGCTGAATACGCCCCACCCACGCTCGACATCCATGAAAAATATGCGTCCTCGAACGACGGACAGATGAACGCCTTCCAGATGACACTGGGGTTGGACAAAACGGAACACCATCTAAGACACAGCCTGGCTACAGCGCAGGCCTTTCTCCTGCTGAAAGGTCTTAAAGAGGACTCCCCAAGTGCCAGTCGTGTTCCAAGTCTCCATCACCTGGACTTTTAGCCATTCTGTTTCCAGGCCTCAAGCGCTATCACCTGGCAGTTTATATCAGCCAGTCACACCATCACTCCTTCGGCACTTAAAAGTACTCGGAGTTGGTGGTCGGTTACCCCAGATGCTGTGAAACTAATCGAACGCGTTGTTCTGCGAATTCTCTCTTCACAAGCTTCGGGCCTTCTCTATCCGCGACGATAACTGAGTACAAAAGAAACGAAGTGCCGAACCCGTTATCTCCACTCACTGGACTGATAAAAATCGTGGAGATGGTTTCACGAGCACTTCGAGAACGCCATCTCCTACACTAGTCCTCGAAGTCCCATGGTGGGATGATCCATTCAAGAGACAATCCCAAGTCCATCCATGCAGTGGGCACCCCACCAGGGAGGGGGAAGTTATTTATGTTTCTAGCTGGCAGAAAGTGACCCACCCCACACACTCCAACCCCCAATGAGAGGCTTGCCAGCCATCCCCGAACTCATCAATGCCCATGAACCTTTATCACAGCAAGCTGCTTCGGGCACAACTCTATTTCGTATTGCAGACGCAATATTAGCAACAGGATCATGACAGATTGAACATGTCTAGTACCATGCACCTTCTCTTTGTGTTAAGCCAACCCCAATTGCTGACGTTCCCGAGTACCTTCTTTCAAGTGCCAGGAGCTCCTTCCACGACATGTATGAAACCAAACAGTAGATCCCACATCTGAAGAAGGTGTGTTCAAACTGTTCAAATTGTTTTGATACGTGAGAGCCGCCAAAGCTAGTTTACTTCCCGAGCTACACTGTACTGGAACGGAAAAACTTCCGAGCTCGTGCTCACTTCCATGAATTCCATGTGTTACCATATCCCCGCCCTTATTGCCGGACTCTACGAAGTAGGTTAGACAATGGGGCTCCATCAATCACCTTGATCAATCACCCAAACATCACCTAAAGTGGAGTTGCCCCTCTCCCCTCAACCAGCACCAGACTATCAATGATGGCCCAATTGCATCACCTCCCCAGCGAAGTTACATACTAGTAGAAGAGTGCCCTTGTAATGGTAACGACCACGAAAGCTGGGTTTGTAAGCAGCAACTCCGAGATCTTCTTACGTACCGGTTCAGTTACTATGACGCATGTTAAATACCGTTGTTAGAAACGTACATTGGACAATTGGAAGCTTGTGGACTGGAGCGGGGCACTCGTTTCCCCGCTGCCGGACAGACATCGGATCTCCGACTCTTTCCTTCTTCTTGGTTCTCTGCATCTGGAGCAGTTCCTGAATCTCTTCATTTCCTTTAATTCCCAAAGATTCCCTCTAGTCTTCACGTCAAATCCATCAACATCCGCCAACTTTCCATCTCGGAAATACACTCCAATCATCAACCAGGTAGTACAAATCTAATTCAAAATGGTCAAGGCTGGTAAGTTAGCTCTATTTGTACATCCAACCCCACCATGCCATCTATCAAGGTGTTTTGGAGGGTGGTGTTCGTCCTACTTTCTATGAGCACATTTGCGGGCCTTTCTGCAAGGCACGACGTGGCGAGCCCCGGGAAGCTTAAATCGATCCTCCATGTCGGGCCATTATTCGCTAACGGAATGGATTAACTAGTCTGCGTCGTTCGAGGCGACTCGAATATCAAGGGCACTATTGTCTTCGAGCAGGAGTCCGAGTCCGCCCCCACCAAGATCTCCTGGGACATCTCTGGCCACGATCCCAACGCCAAGCGTGGCATGCACATCCACACCTTCGGCGACAACACCAACGGCTGCACTTCTGCCGGTCCTCACTGTAAGTGCCCGTTCGACACGCTTAGACCATGCTATCGGCACAGGTGTCATTATACCATGACTGAAGGGACGGTTGCTAACGTCATTGCTATCAGTCAACCCCCATAGCAAGAACCACGGTGCTCCTCAGGACTCGGACCGTCACGTCGGAGATCTCGGCAACATCGAGACTGATGCCCAGGGTAACTCCAAGGGCTCCGTCACCGATAGCCTTGTCAAGCTGATTGGCCCCGAGAGCGTCGTCGGCGTATGATTAATCCCAATTTGTTCCTGCGACTCACATAGATGCTAACGGTTTGCCTAGCGCACCATTGTTGTCCACGCTGGTACTGATGACCTCGGCAAGGGAGGAAACGAGGAGAGTCTGAAGACTGGCAACGCCGGCCCCCGCCCCGCCTGCGGTAAGTTCTGACATGCTATGCGTTGCATCTATGTATGACCGCAACTAACTGGGATGCATAGGTGTCATTGGTATCTCCGCTTAAGCTGTCGTTGGAAGCTCCCTGACGGGACGGCGCCGTAGTCAACAGAAAGGGTTCCACCAATTTGGTAAATACAGCCATTGTATCTTGAATGCCAGCTATGATAGTCTAGTGCAGACCAGAAAATAGTATTGCCAATGGCTTAATTCGTTGACAGTCCCTTCGATGGCGTTAAGTTTCGAAGTGCGAGCTGATCCCGATAGCTGGGGAAATGTTGGTGGTTGCTTCAGGAGAATCGAAGCTAAGCTAAGCTCTAGAGCTTTGGGCAACACAGTATGAAATTTCTTACTGTGAGACGTTGTGAATGTCATCGTCCTTCATAAATCGTGACCTGCTCCAAGCTGACCAGGGTCAATGCCACAAAACGGCGGCGTTCTTAAATGCCCAGCGCCCTTCTCAATCCCTTTGGAACCGGAATTGAGTGTAGTTTTCAAATTGCGGAAATTCGCAAGAAATTAGACTCAAAACACTTTTGAGCAGCTCTGCAGAGCTGATCGATTCTCGGGACATTAATAGATTATTCTGATTCGACATTGAACAATGTGAACAAAAGGAGCATCAATGGTCTTGAAAAATACAGTGTACTTTAAGAACGCTTGGGTTTTGTGCCACGGAGTGACGCAACGAGGACTGGGGCAGCCAGGCGAGGGCGGTTTCATCGACCCCGCAATCCCCATCAGCTGGCCGCAACAATTGCGCCACTTGGCCTGGCCTGGCCCTGGAGCACTGGAGGCTAGGGGTGCTCTGGTCCCTGAAACGGCCAATTAATCGCCTGCCCCAGTGGGTGAAGAGTTCATGCTCCCATTATCGTCGATGTGGAGTTCAATATTAACACGTCAACCCTTCACCGTCTCTGTTGATCAATACTATTACCTGTCCCTTAGTTCATCGCCTCACCTCTCAATCATCTTCTCCCCTTCAAGACCTCTCTGGTCTGCTGCTATCCCTAGAGTATACTTCTGATATATAAGCAAATTCCCCAGTCTGTTAGGTATGTACCCCCCCAGAGCTTTTGCGCCTCTGTCAACCCTGCTCCAGAGTGCTCGCCTGATCTTCTAAGCTTCTCCATGATTCCATTGAACGTCATTGTCTTGAACCCCAATCCCTTGGCATTGAGCTTTGAAGTGCAAGCTACACTTTTCTCCTACATGTCCAGTCTTTCAACTACTATGATAGGCTTACCAAGTAGCTAACTGGTTGGCCGTGCTCTGTCTAGGACCCTTCTTCTCCACGGCCTACCCCTCTCCACGGATACCGCAATGGCTACCGGTAAACAGCTTCTCGGTTACTGCAAAAGCGTGCTTAGCGGCGACACTCTCATCATTGGGAACCCAAACAATGCCGCCGCCGAACGCACGCTGTCCCTCGCCTACGTCAGCGCACCCCACCTGAAGAAGGAGGGCGACGAGCCCTTCGCCTTCCAGTCTCGCGAGTTCATCAGGAACATTGCCTTGGGAAAGCCCGTCCTTTTCACCGTACTCTATACGATTCCTGCCACGGGCCGCGAGTTCGGCGTTGTCAAGGTCAAGGATGGCCCCGATTTGCCTGATGAACTTATCAAGGAAGGCTGGGTCAAGGTCAGGGAGGATGCCGGCAGGAAGGAATCCTCTGAAGAGATCCTTGAGCGATTGGATAGCCTCCGCTCCCTCGAATCCGATGCCAAGACCCAGGGCAAGGGGCTGTGGTCGGGCGCCAGCGGCGTGATTGAGGTTCAGAACGATCTTGGAGATCCTAGCTTCCTGAAGGAATGGTCCGGAAAGACGGTCGAGGGCATTGTTGAGCGTGTCCTAGGAGGTGATCGTCTTCTGACGCGTATCCTGCTATCTGATAAGAAGCACCTGCAAGTCATGACCCTTGTTGCCGGTATCCGCACCCCCTCTACTCAGCGAACGATCCCATCCACAGGACAGGTCCAACCAGCTGAGGAGTTCGGCAACGAGGCCAAGGCTTACGTTGAGTCCCGTCTTCTTCAGAGGCAAATCAAGGTTCACATTGTCGGAGCTAGCCCTCAGGGCCAACTCGTTGCCGAGATCATCCACCCCCGAGGTAACATTGCCGAGTTCCTCCTGCAGGATGGCCTTGCGAGGTGTAACGACTTCCATTCCACAATGCTCGGTCCCAAGATGGCTGCCCTTCGGGCGGCAGAGAAGCAGGCCCAGTCCAAGAAGCTTCGGTTGCATAAGAACCACGTCAGCAAGGAAGGTGGTGCCGGAGCCATGGATATGATTGTCGCCAAGGTCATCAGCGCCGACACCATTGTCGTGCGAAACAAGGTTGGCGATGTCGAGAAGCGAATCAGTATTAGCAGCGTGAGGGGCCCACGGACCAATGAAGCGAGCGAGGCCCCTTTCAGGGACGAGGCCAAGGAGTTCCTCCGCAAGCGTGTGATCGGCAAGCACGTCCACATCAGCATCGACGGATCGAAACCTGCAACGGATGATTTCGAATCTCGCGATGTTGCTACCATAACTGAGAAGGGAAAGAACGTGGGTCTTCTCCTAGTACAGGAGGGATGGGCATCCGTAATCAGGCATCGAAAGGATGACACGGACCGTGCCCCTAACTACGATGAACTCCTGGCTGCTCAAGAAACAGCGAAGACGGAGAAGAAGGGAATGTGGTCCGGAAAGCCATCCAAGGTGAAGCAGTATGCCGACGCATCGGAGTCAGCTCAAAAGGCCAAGGTCCAGCTCGCATCCCTTCAACGGCAACGCAAGATTCCCGGTGTGGTTGATTTCTGCAGGTCCGGGTCGAGGTTTGTCATCCTCATCCCCAAGGAAAGCATCAAGATTACCTTGGTTCTCGGCGGAATCCGCGCGCCCAGAGCTCCTCGTCTACCTAATGACAAGGGTGAGCCTTTTGGCCAGGAAGCCCTTGACCTTGCCAACCGCCGCTGCAATCAGCGAGACTGTGAGGTAGACATTCACGACATCGACAAGGTCGGTGGGTTCATTGGCGCGCTCTACATCAACCGCGAGAACTTTGCCAAGCTGTTGGTCGAGGAGGGTCTCGCTTCGGTCCACGCTTATTCGGCCGAGAGATCCGGCAATGCGGCCGAGCTGTTCGCGGCCGAGAAGAAAGCCAAGGAGGGCAGGAAGGGCATGTGGCATGACTGGGACCCCTCGCAGGAGGAAGGTGAAGAGGAGGAAGCACCCGCGGAAGCATCTAACGGAGCGGAAGATACTGGTGCTAAGAAACCCACAGACTATCGCGACGTTATCGTCACCAGCATTGACGAGAACGGCAAGCTGAAGCTTCAAGAAATCGGACAGGGAACTGCCGCTCTTGAGACCCTCATGTCTGCCTTCAAGAAGTTCCACCTCGACCCCAAGAACAACGCTCCCATCAAGGACGCTCCCAACCGCGGCGATTACGTCGCGGCCAAGTTCTCCGCGGACGGACAGTGGTACCGCGCCCGTATCCGATCGAACGACAGGACCGCCAAGGTAGCCGAGGTCGTCTACATCGATTACGGCAACAGCGAGAAGATCCCCTGGTCGAACCTGAGGCCCCTCTCGCAGCCAGAGTTCAACACGCAGAAGCTCAAGGCGCAGGCCATTGACGCGTCGCTGTCCTTTGTCCAGCTACCCACGGCGCCGCACTACTTCGCCGACGCCCTCGGCTTTATTAACGAGATCACGGAGGGCAAGAGGCTGGTCGGCAGCTTCGATTATGTCGATTCCAAGGAGGGCGTGAGCTACGTTACGCTCTACGACCCCAAGTCTTCCAACGAGCTCCCTGGACCTTTCGAGTCGATCAACCGAGACGTCGTCGCGGGTGGTTACGGCATGGTGGCAAGGAAGTTGAAGGCTTGGGAGCGCAACAAAGCGTTTGAGGGCATCCTGAAGAACCTGCGCGAGGTTGAAGACGATGCTAAGAAGGAGAGGCTCGGAATGTGGGAGTATGGCGATATCACCGAGGACTAAATCTAGCCTCTAATTTTCGCATCAAGGTCCACAAGGTATGAAGAGCTTTTGAAAACTATAAAAGAGGAAAAAAATTAATGACGAAAAGGTCGCAATGACACATGAGCGGTTGGGTTAGATGCATTTAGTATATAGGAAAGCGAAGTTGGGTGGCATACGACATTGATGAGCGAAAACAAAAGCAATGGTTTCATGATGATCACTGGTATAGCATCAAAACAACTAGAGCAATGAATTCACTTCCTTTCAAGAACATTGTAGAAGTGCGCTTTACGTTGTGGTTTGACGATGAAGACGCAACAGAGTCGGCTGGACCATGTCGAGCTCGTCTCTGGAAGCTGTTCAACTCCCAGCGGCTGTCTCGGGTAAAGCTCCCTCTAGCGTGTCTCGCTTGCTTCAACGTGTACAACTAGTATAGTGTATACTAAGCTAAGGAAGAATGAATGGCTCGTTGAACCAGAAGGGGCTATACGAAGTTATAGTTGAGTGCACCTCGAGCCAGGAGCTAAGGACAGCCTTTTTGCGTCGTATCGTAGCTCGAAGGGGGACGCGAAATGCTACCATCACATCATCTGTTGATCACGATTCCGAAGAGTGAAAGGTATCTAAAGGACCGGTAACGTAATTGATACAGCAAGCACGCATACATTGATCAATCCAAGATCCCCGACGTCCCCTCGACGAGCCCACTCTGGCATGTCCTAGCGTGCCGCTTCTCCCCGGAGTCTTGGGGGTGGGGGTCGTGACGACCGTTGAGGCGATTACACCACTGCTGGACTTTACGGGTTGGCGGGGCTTGCCTTGGGGGACGAAAAGAGTTGATCAATTCAGTTACAGGAGGAATCTGTAGACATTGATCAATTGAACAGTGGTAGTATCCTTCAACATCAATTGATTGAATTCCCTCCGTGCTGTACAGGTAATCGAGGCGGGGTTGAATGGAGGGGCTGGAAGAGGGGCAGAATTTGAAGAGCCAACAGCTTTGAGAAATGGCCCAGCAATGAAATGCCAGCTTCAAGACCTCAGTGCTACTGCCGGCTCCACTTTAGCAGCAATTGATAACAATTGACAAAGCTCGAATGGCATCGTACACCTTGGGAAGCTGTTCAAGACTTGAAGCTGTAAACAGGAGTGTTCACAATGAACGGAGATCAAAGTGCAAGTTCGAGGGCAAGGCCAGTGCCTCAACAGCTCCTTGGCGTTTCGGTCTGTCTTCGAAAGCTCACACCATTGCATGTCCCAAACATCAAGGTGGTCAATATGGTTTCCCTACCTCAATCTTGCTACCCTGTCCGGGGTGGGCCCAGGCCAAGAGGTGTAGGTGCGCTCCAATCACCGACTCAAATGCCTGAGGACGGCTGTTTGATATCCCCTCCGTCGTTCCTATTCTCGCCCTGTTTAGAGCCCAAGAGCACCCATCAGGTTGCTGTTGCGCGGCAGCTACTTGGTAAATACTCTCATATAACGGTATCAATTGATTTGATGTGTTATTGATTTGTCATCGGTTGAGCCACCGCCAATCTCACTGCCAATCTGAACAACGTGCAATTCTACTTCTCTACCAATTTTATTTTTCCGCGGCGTCATCGTCAACCAGCTTTGGCCCCCGCGGGGCTCGCCTCATCCGCCTTCGTAGCCTGGCGAGTATATGCTAAGCAGTGGACAACGGAAGCAGTATACAAGTATCGGCTCCCATTTCGAGGTTATTCCTTGGAATTCTTTGTATACACCTTGACTACAATCATGGTTGGTTATCTTGGCGAGAGGATGGAGAGGCCGGGGAATGCGGGCGGCAAGACCGGACGTTGCAGCGCCCGAACCTCAATGACAATTATTTTGTAAGATTGATAGACTTTTGGCCAGACGTTATGACTAACACACCACCACGACGATTGGGGGCACAATTGCAGCGACTGAGTGTAGTGGAGTGTGGGAAGTACAGTAGCACTCTAGCAAGTTCCTCAACCCGCGCTAGCCTTAGCTCCCCAGTGGTTCACTCCTTGTCCGGCGACTCCTTCCCACTTACAAATTGATCACTCAATGTTGACCTCATGCTGCGTCCGATTGTACACACTACCCGCTCTTACTTCGTAGCTACCAATTGATCTATCTTAGAGACGAGGCAGCCAGCATCGGCGAGCTCGAGGCGATACAGGACAGGGCAGGTGCCAGACTTGATACACCGGCAATATCCAGCGAACCCAGCCGCCTACCGATTTGGATTTGATACGTCACATCATCAACCAGGTCAGGGTCCAGAGACAGAGACAGAAGCAACTTTGAGAGACGGCGACTCCTCAAGTGCTCCAAACGCCGAAGTAGCCCCAGCGCTCCGAAACACTAACCGAGCACGGCAGACGAGACGTTGAGCAATTGATCAGGCCTGTGCTGCTAGCTGTGGTCAAGCCCCCAGGTAAACACAAGGTATTGGTTACATTGATCTGATCGATGCTGTTCCGATACACTTTGTACCTCAGTTGAGCTTTTGTTATTGCCACATGAGACCTGAGGTCCGATCAATTTTAGCCTCCAGCGTGAAGTTCTTCCGCTTGCCAGGTCCAGCTTCGCCGCCAGCTTTGCTTCGTTTCGACGGGGATATGAACAGTGCATGACCCCTCCTTCCTTCCAACTTCTTCCATTTAGACTCAAGAACCCGCAAAAATTTTAAACCTCTTGACATTTATTTGACATTTATTTTCTTCCTTCTATCGTCCATCCTCTCTATCCTATCATTGCTAGAATTCGTTCATTATCCCCCCGAATAAACCTCGTTTCTTGATTTTTCCCTATTCACATCCACAGCCACAATGTCGAGCGCTCTTGAACAACTAAAGGCCACTGGCACCGTGAGTTCCTTCTTTACCCCGCGCTGCCCATTGAGGACCCCTCAGTCCGGGGCCCATCGTCGCATTCGAGCTTCATTGTCCACGGCTCCAACGAGGACCTCGCCGTCCGTTGCATAGGTCAATTCGGATGGTGCTAGAATGCCGATGGGGATTCTGCTACTTAACTATACTCTTGTGCTTTTCCAACATCTATTTGCTGACCTCTTGCTTTTTCCCGGTGCATAGGTTGTCGTCAGTGATACTGGTAAGCTCCTCCGATATCCTTCCGATGACCTTCTGATGACTCTACAAAATTCGCTCTTGCTAACTAGCTTCTAGGTGACTTCGCTTGTGAGTTATCCCTTCCCGTCTCTTAGTGGGAGAAAAAAAAGAGAACAAAGAAATCATATCACGAGAGATACCTTGACCACCCTTGAACTTGATTGAACACCCAACTTACACATATCAACTACAGCCATCGGCAAGTACAAGCCCCAGGATGCCACGACCAACCCCTCTCTCATCTTGGCCGCTTCCAAGAAGCCCGAGTACGTCGCTCTGATCGACAAGGCCGTTGCCTACGCCAAGGCCAAGGGCGGTTCTGCCAACGACCAGGTCGAGCTGGCTCTTGACCGTCTTCTCGTTGAGTTCGGTACCGAGATTCTCAAGATCATCCCCGGCAAGGTCTCCACCGAGGTCGATGCCAGCCTTTCCTTCGATACCCAGGCTTCCGTTGCCAAGGCCCTCAAGATCATCAAGGTAGGCCACACTGACAGTCGCCAATTTGCTTTTCCCAACCTCCTGTAGGCTCTAGAGAGACTGACTGGTTTGCTACCACTTGCACCTATAGCTTTACGAGGAGGAGGGCATCTCCAAGGACCGTATCCTCATCAAGGTTGCCTCCACCTGGGAGGGCATCAAGGCCGCCGAGATCCTCCAGCGCGACCACGGCGTAAACTGCAACCTCACCCTCATGTTCTCCCTCGTTCAGGCCATCGCCGCCGCCGAGGCTGGCGCCTTCCTCATCTCCCCCTTCGTCGGACGTATCCTCGACTGGTACAAGGCCGCGACCAAGAAGGAGTACACTAAGGAGGAGGATCCCGGTGTCGCCTCCGTCAAGAGCATCTACAACTACTACAAGAAGTTCGGCTACAAGACCATCGTCATGGGTGCCTCTTTCCGTAACACTGGTGAGATTACCGAGCTCGCTGGCTGCGACTACCTCACTATTTCTGTAAGTGGCTTCCGTTCCCAGCACCCAGCACTCGCCGATCTGGTACTTCAGCTACCGCGTGCAAATGTTAAAGATTTGGAGGGTTGTACATAAACAGAGGGGAACAGATTTGCTAACTATCGCTTCCTTCTAGCCTGCCCTTCTTGAGACGCTCAGCACCTCCCAGGAGGCTGTCCCCAAGAAGCTCGACGCTGCCGCCGCCTCTGCCCTCAACATCGAGAAGAAGACTTACATCAACAACGAAGCCGTCTTCCGATTCGATTTCAACGAGGAGCAGATGGCCGTCGAGAAGCTCCGTGAGGGCATCAGCAAGTTCGCTGCCGACGCCGTCGTCCTCAAGGACATCATCAAGGCCAAGGTTGCTGCTTAAATTACGAGGACACGTTTTAGACTCTTTCTCCTCCGCTAAGGAGCTAGGGGATAACAGGATGAGAGAATTCACCGGATGCTGTGGCAGACCCTTGGTGTGAGAGCCCGTCTCGTGTGTATCGGGGCTTTTTGGCGTTGTCTCTTTGATATATGGCCATTGCCACTTCTACAACTTCAGGGCCAGTCCGCATTGGATGGATACAGGAGATTGGTATATCAATTGGCAGGTGGACATTAAGAATTGGGAGGCGGATGAACGATAATTGGGCCAACAGAAGTCATATACATTCGGTCCGGGGGCATTCGTTGATGGTGCGCATTAACAGCACGGTCATTACTATCGTCTCCCATAGAAGTTAAATACAACTCAATACAAGACATAGTGAAACTTAAATAGACACGTCTACCTCGTACTTCGTATGGCTTTCTGATCGCGAAATTATTGCATGAGATTTGAGGCAATTCGTTTGATTTCCTCTATGTTATGTTAAGCCGAGCTAAGGTCCCCAATACCAATCCGCTCTCTCCTCTACACTCACCGGGCGGGAGAACCAAGATTAGAAGAAACCAGGTATCATGTTACAATGTCGAACTAAAATTCTCCCCCCAGACCTCTTCGAAGTAATACAAACTCCAAAATAATTCCTCGTCAGAAAAAAGAAATAAACCTTAGTTGGTATGCAGTACTCGTCGCCTCCCCATTATGCGCGCTCTCTTTATGATTGTAGATATTGAGAGGGAAAGCTCCCCGAGTTTCCCCCCTTTTCTCTACTTATCTCTAGTTATGTATCCCCCCTGTCCACCGTTCATCCCACCGGTACAGCATCAAATGCTTGGCCTCTTAGACAGGACGATTAAAATAGTTGTTATGTATGCAAATCTGGCTAGAAAGGACAAGAGGTGAAGTGTTTTAGAAAGAAGAACGGAAAGAAGATCGCTGCCGGCCAGGCGGTGGATGATATAAGTGGGGATGTGTGAAGCGGTGGTCAATGACTGGGATTAAAAAAGAAAGGAGAAAAAGAGAAAAAGAGGGTTAATGATGGTGAGGCGGGAGTGAGTCGAAGATAGCTCAGTAAATATCGAGGTTATCCCAACCTCACTCCTTCTCGAAATCTTGTTGACAGTCGACAGACACGGTCTTGTGAGTGACACCAGATGAGGAGCCGGCAATGACAAGGGCGGTAAGTTGCTCTCCATCCACGCATTTCGTATTCAGCCCAAAGGTATTCTTGCCGAGGTTCAGACCCTTCTTGGTGTCGCGACCATATATGACAGTCCGCCGCTCCTCGTCATTCTTCTCGGATTCGATCCGGTTCCACACAGGGAACCATTCGTCACCCGAATAATCATCGATGGGAACAATAACGTCCCTATCTGTGGGTTTCGAAATTTCCTGAAGCTCTGCCTGGATGAGCGCCTCTCTCACCTTCCGGCCAACAAACTTCTTCCTCCCTAGCTCTTCCTCCTGTTTCTTCAGTCGCTCTTCGACGGTCTTCTTGGCCGTCTCGCGGCGGACTTGCTCGCGCGGATACACGATGCTGCGCATGTTCATGGCGGGCCACGAGTCCTGCTTGTCCATTTCGATACCGGGCACGAGGCCCGCGTGGGAGACGTAGATGTTCTGCAGGCCCGGGATGAAGCCGACGTCTAGTATGGCGGGGAGCTTCGCGAGCCACTCGACGTGCTCGGTCGTTAGGGAATCGGCTACGACACGCTCGGCGTAATCTCCGCGCGAGAGATGTTCCTGCTCGAGGTGATCCTCGTCACCACCTAGGCCGTGGATCGTATTGGTCGCATTCTTCTTGGAGTTCATCAGCTCTCGCACTAGGAGGATTCGGTCTTCCTCGACGCCCCGCACGGATGTGGCGTTGAGCATTATGGCTAGCTCGACCACGGCTGCACTGTCAGTGCCCTTGCTGACTAGGTTGCCGACGAAGATGATCTGGTCACGGCCGCTCTCGGCGTCGAAGCCGACCTTGCCTAGGAGTTGTTGTAGGGGGTCGATCATGCCGTGGACATCGCCGATGATAATGAGCCGCTTGTCGTTGCCCTTAGATGGGAGGAGCTTAGCGGGGAGTTTCTGTATCCTCTTTACAAGGCCGGAGCCGGTGAAGTCTGGTCGCGATTTCGCGGCATAGGACGTGATATCATCCGCCGGATCAGGTTCCTTGGTCTCCTCCTCTTCTTCGTTCTCATGGTTTTCCTCCTCCTCAAGTTTGTCATTCTGCTGATCGGATTTCTGCTCAGCCTGGTGGTCGTCGGTGGTGCCGTCGGGTTGGGGTGGTGGTGTCTGTGTCTCCGATTCTGGTTTCGAATCTGCGTTGGCCTCGGGGCGTTGGGGTGTTGGGGGTTGGTCGGTGCGTAATATTGCGTTACTGAAGAGGTGGTCCGAGGTGTAGATGAAGGTTATGACGACTAATATGACGATGATGAGGACGGTATGCCTCCGCCGCCGCGGGTGGATTGGAGATCGCAAATTCATCCTGAAGCGGGTTCTGGATCTCTCCTTCCCGAGAATTAAACCACCCTCGTCCCCTTTCGAGGTCGAATAAACCGAGGGCGAAGTTGCTGGGAGAAAGGGAAACTGGTTGCTCGAATTTTGAAAATTTTCCTCCTGTTTCTCTTTTTCTTATGTTGGCGTAACGCTAGGTAGGTAACAGGTTTTCCTAGCCAGGGAGTGGTTCGTCTGCTCGTCTCACGAGCAAACTACGATACGTCATATGCCTTTTTGTTCAACCCCCAGAAGATGCCGCTAATCCATGGCCGAACACAGTGGTCATGGCACGCGACACTGATCCGTCGGGATAAGAATTTTTTCTTTTTTTGTCTCGATGACGCCGAAGTGAAGGAATTCTGGTAGGGAGTCTAGAATCGCCCATCCGGGTCAAGGGGCACCGAAGGAGTGGATGAAGAATGATATTTAGCATTTCACAACGTTCCCCATTGAAAAATGGGGGGATCCAGGGACCGGTGGAGTCTAATAGGGAGGGTCGGGAAAGGGGGCCTTGGAAAGAAAAAAGCCAAGACTTTCCCATCAATTTCATGACCTCCCTTTCCAATGCATCCGACGGTGGTATCTCCAGTCCGAGTGACGGACGGCGCGAGAAGAGCGACTCTTCTCTGCATTTGTGTCTTGTTTTATGACCGTATTAATTTACGGATGGGGAAGGTTCCCGCGTGCGGATTTGCTGAACAGGGTTTAGGTCGCTGCTACTGTACACTGTACTTTGGACGTTTACCGCCTCATGCTGGTTTCCAGGTGGAAGTACCTGGTACACCGCAATTGTCTCGTGAGGCAGAGTTTGTGCTGGGAGAAGTGAGGCAACAGAAGCAGGACAGGAGACAAGCCATGTACCAGATCCAAAACCCGCTAGTTCAGAGCTTAAAGTGTAGTCAGGGGGTCACCCATTTAGACTTTCGCTTCTGGCAGTTGATCTCAATATTATCAAATCTTCCTACTGAGGGAGAAATAGGCTGGGCAACGTTTCTGACGAAGTAGTGATTGTTATGCTTTAAATCTCCCATGATGTTCTTGGCTCTTGGCGCATAGACTGATAAGCCACCCTTACATACTGGTATCAGGTGGGATGTGAAATGGAATGCGCCAACGTTATCGCAGTTGTTGGCCTTGGGAACCAGAATGAGGCCACTGATCCTTGGGCGCCACCAGCGCAAAAACGAACGGGGGGATGGTGCTCAAGTGCGAAGGAGAGATTGCCACACAGTTCCCCCTCCTGGGTCTAGATCTCTCAAAGCTGGCAACCGTCGTATTGGCACGGCGATGTTGGCCGATCTCTCTTGGAATAAAACAAACTTACGGAGAAGTGGCAAAGAGATCAATTGATCCTGCGAGCTGCGTATTCATCGCTATTGATGGATTGGATTGCACCACTTGAGCACGAATACGGGAGCACCCATTTCTTGGAAGACGGACACCGTATTATCTTGTACTTTTAGCGCCGTGGTTCTCCTTCTTTTTCGTGTGAATCTACTGACCTCGACTCTTGGCGTGGTTGCCGAAATTCCGTTGTGCGCAGCGTCGCAGGGATAAGTGAACACCTGCAGCGATTGACATTGAATCTTACTTGATAAGGCCGTCTCATGGAGTACGAGGTATTAGCAAACAGAATGGCACAGGCCCCGGCCAGCTTTGGCTGGCCTAAAGGTATCCTGCCTTACCAAGGTACATTCGAGATCAATTGCACGTCAGCCACTCACTTCAGCCTTGGTCGAGGCGAGCCGTACGAAGTTTGTATACAAGCCAAATACGCCAATGCCTCTACCAACCTGCTATCGTAAAGGACAACATTTCACTAAAACATCAGTTAGGACGGACCCTTGGGAAATAAAATCGGTGTCATCGTACACACCCGCTCACCATTGAATTATATCCAAGCCGTCGCCTTCTATGGGACTCTGACAGCTCTGACAGCCCACAGCCCACAGCCGAAAGTTCCCAGCCGCTCTAAACTGTGAAGGCGCGGAGGAAGAAGCCGCCGCCACCCGAAGACGAGTCGAAGGATCTGTCCAAAAACCCATAACTCAGCTATATATTTTGTAGTATACATTGACGCGTGTGAAGTGGAGTGAAGTATAGTGTCGAAACCCAGAAACGCCTTTGGCCGAAGCTCTATTACCAACGCCACCGATGCAACGATCCTTTTGCCCCCGCAGCGAGCAGCATTCTCGAGACTGCAAGTAGGTAGATGTGTGATGAGATTTTATAAAAAGCCCACGACCAAGCGAAATCACGACTTAGTGGGCGCGTCAGATTTAGCTGCTGCCGCCGCCTCGGCGCGGTACTTTTCGTTCGCCACCTCCCTCCAATCTTGCTCCTGCTCGTCGCCGCTCGTGATCTTGACCCCGCCACCGAAAGCAGACTTTCCGGCATAGAGCTGGTATCCCTTGCCCTCTTCATCGGCCTTCTGGATCGTCTGGTACGATACGGGAACGTTGCCGCGGAATCGCTTGCGCATGTCGACCAGCCCGCGTCTGCACTCGCCGAAACCTTTCTTGAGCTGTTGGCATTTCGGCGGGAGCGTGTCGACGAGGGGTGGGCGGAGGCAGTCGGCCGCCGAGTTTCGTTGGACCATGACGCATTCCGACTCCTGGAGGCATTGCGCCAGAGCGGCTCCTGCGAAGAAGGGGCGCATTGCGCGTTAGCGCCACTAAACTGGGACCTGGTTGGGAGGAGAGCCACCACCTTCAACAGCGTTGGCGAGGAGAGGGTAGGGGTAACTGTGCGACTTACTCAACTCCTTGCAAGAACTCGGCATTGTGAAGGTATGGGTATGACACGAGGTACGTTGGGGTGGAATGCGCAAGGAAGGAAAGCAAAGTTGGAAGGTTAGAACGATCTTTAAAAATCAGGAGAGCCAAAAGTTGAAAGCTCCATGATTGGTCCAGTGTCCTCGAGCACCTCTGTGGATACCAGAGCCACTTGGAATATAATTTATATGATTGGCTACTCACCGAGATATCCGGGTCGTCGGGAAACCTACTTCCATGTTGTCTTACTAATACACTTGCCAGTTTTGTTCGCTGTTGGGCTGTCGCTTCCAAGATAAGTTGGGCGGTTTGTTCAGGATTTGAATCGTATCTCCCAGGTCCTCATGGATTTCCTTAAACAGGAACACATGCCGTCTCATAGTTAGACGGTTCCTCGTAAAGGGGCACAAACACAAACCTAAATGAAGTGAAGTCGTGAGGCGGGTTCGGGGAGCAATGATGGGACCGAGTATCAACCGACAATAACCCCCTACCCTACAACGTAGCCCATTTGCTAGACCGATTTCATTCTACCCCCTGTTCGGCCGGATCGCACCCTTTTCGCATATCGCGATCTAATCAAGTCCTGGCTTATCCATCTCCATCTCCTGTGCTGTCCGGGCCAGAAAACTTCACCGGGACTACGGCTTTCTGGGGCGCTTCCTAGTTTACTGCCTGCACCTTCCACGACTTGTTTCGTCATATCGCCTCGCGCCTGCAGCTCTTTTGTCCTGTTCCTGCCTCTCATCACATGGGCCCAATTGACATGTGACGCAGTACCAGCACTCTAGTTCCCAAACCTCCTCCAATACTGTCATTCATATCATCCTCACGCTGCGATTCCTAAGCCTCTCTTCCATCCTTAGCAACCTAAATTTCTCGTATCCGTCAAAACCTAGGAAATGCCTCTTTTCCCGAATCGCTTATCCTAATAACCTAAAATGCCTTTTCCGTTCATTGGCCGGTTACACCTGTAAGCTACACCGCCCTTGCCAACGATCTTTGTTCGCGGCGGCGCGGTTGCTGCAGCTTTATCTAACAAGGCGCAGGACCGAATATCTCGCTCTAGTTGGATCCTTTTGTCTCGTGGCACTTGAAGCCTTCATTCGAGTCCTTACATTAGCGCTACGTGAGTACACGACATTTGCGAGTTGCCCCACTTGACCCCTGGGAATCATATCTAACCGCTTCCTCCTGGCAGCCGACTCTATAATATCCCTTTGCTATCGAGCTTCTCGCCGGCTCTTTATTCGGTGGACGTCTCCGGCACAAAAGAGAGCGGCGCAACGCAATCAATGTTCGTCTTATATGCTTCGGACAGCCCCCCACCCGGTGCGCCAACTGACACTCTTCTCCAGCCAAATCGACCTCGATCCGCGATGCGTCGGACTTCATCGAGCTGTGCAGCCTATTTGGATACGAGGCTGAAGAGCATATAATACTCACTAAAGATGGGTACCTATTGGGCTTGCATCGGCTGGCGTGGAGGAAAGGCGAAGAAGGGAAAGCGGTGAATGCAGGTCCCAACAGTTTGAAGAAGAGAGTGGTTTACCTCCACCACGGCCTCCTAATGAACAGCGAGGTCTGGGTGTCTCTCACAGATGCCGAGAGGAGCCTCCCATTAGTTTTAGTGGAGCGAGGATTCGACGTATGGGTAAGTGCGCTCCGTAACCCCTCTGAGGGACTTATAAACTAAGCGGGCACAGCTGGGAAATAATCGAGGCAACAAATACTCCAAGAAGTCAGTCAACTCCTCGCCTTCGAGCCTTCAGTTTTGGAACTTTTCCATGGACGAGTTTGCCTTGCACGATATTCCCGACTCCATTTCGTACATTCTCGACACGACTGGTGTGGAAAGCCTCTCATATATCGGCTTTTCCCAAGGAACAGCCCAGGCCTTCGCAACGCTCTCCATTCATCCCAAGCTGAACTGCAAGATCAACGTCTTTATCGCACTCGCTCCGGCGATGGCCCCAGCTGGCCTTTCAAACGGCATCGTCGATGCGCTCGTCAAGGCATCACCCCAAGTCATTTACCTCCTCTTTGGTCGGCGGTCTATCCTTAGCTCGACAACAATGTGGCAATCTATCCTGTACCCACCCATCTTCGTCCGTGTTATCGACATGAGTCTGAATTTCCTGTTCGGCTGGAAGACGAAGAACATTTCTATAAGCCAGAAGCTGGCGGCGTATTCTCACCTCTACTCTTTCACCAGTACCAAGAGTGTGGTACATTGGTTCCAGATCATAAGAAATCAAAGCTTCCAAATGTACGATGACGATCGGCCGGGCATTTCCCTTAGTGCTCAGAACAAGTACACCAAGGTTGCCAGGTACCCGACGCGAAATATCAAGACGCCAATTGTTCTCGTCTACGGCGGATGCGACTCTCTAGTCGATATTAAGGTCATGCTGAAGCAGTTACCACCTCAAACCGTGGCGACAGAGATCCCGCACTATGAACATTTGGATTTCCTCTGGGCTCGAGATGCCGACAGGCAGGTGTTCCCGCACGTTTTCGACGCTCTTGACAGCTTCACCGACGCGGCACACAGCCAGGAGGAATACGATAGATATCGGATTGTGAGGAAGGAGAGCCTACTCCAGTCAAAATTCGACCACTCTCGAAAGGCTAGCGACGCCACGGATAGCGAAGAAACAGTTGTTCCCACGGATAACAGCCACAGTGCCAGGGATACCCTTCCTTACACCCATAGACACCGCGCGAGAGAACGATTTCCCGATCTTCCAACTCTAGGGGCGCGGCTACGCACACCCCAAGGTGGACAGTCCTCTAGCGATGAGACATGGGCGTCATCGTCAGACAAGGCCGAAGCATCATCGCCAGCAGGAGCTGCAGAACAGGATCAACCTAGCGAACAGCGCGACGGAAGCCGGCCTCAGACACCAGCTGCCAGGGCCGTCGAGGCGGCGGAAGCTCGGAGAGGTAGCGCAAGCAGCGTCCTTAGCCTCAATAACATGAAGGGCGGTCGGGGAATACAAGTCGCGGCTGGGAAGGCTCTGGGTGGCGTGGTGACGCGGAGCGGGGCCGAGGGAACCGGAGTCGGGATAAGTCAGGCGCCGGTTGAACGGACATCACCTAAGAAACAGAAATAAAAAAGTAGACTTAGACTGTAGGACAACCAGTTTTGTACAGCAGTATTCTTATAGGAATATACATATTTTGCATATTAGAACATATTGACGCACCAGAAGGGGTAAACAAACAGTACATCGAGACTGGGTCTCCTCCGTTCGAACCGCCGAACACCAGGACTGGCGAAATGTACAACTTAGACAAGCACAACTTATCTCACGGACTTGTACGTGTGTGTAGGTGTAAAGCCGCCAACTCCGAGCACCATCAGGGTGAAGATTTGGCTTTGTTTCTATTGGCGCCTGTTTAGGTCCTCTCTCCCCTTTTCCCAGATACGAATCGGACGTTAAGAAGGGAAACCGCCCCGATCGTCGTCACCGAACTATGGGGATTGCCTTTCCACGGTGATAGGACAGGCGTCCGGGATGGTCCAAGGGAGGTTGTTTACTCGTATAAAACTCAAAGTGGCTAGGATTCCTCGGTTTTAAAAGCTTCGTAACTCTGGTAGCTTCTTCGCCGTAAACGTTGAGGAGAGTTGCCAAGCAACGATGAAGCTTGCTGAAGGTTAACTGATAGATTAATATAAACAACATCCCCGGCTCCGATCTGATTCCCGCACTCTTCGATACACTAGCTTTCACCCCAAACTTGATCAAAATGAAGCCTGTCATATTCCTCCTCTCCACGCTCCTCGCCGGAACTCTGGCGCAAACGGCCGTCGACGAGCCCGCAGCCTCCATAACAGTTGCGCCCACCCCCGCGACTACCTCGCACACAGTCAAACCCGCCACAACTACAACCAAGGCACGCAATAAGAGCACCGGCAATCAGAACAACAATGAGAGCCAGGATCAGGGCCGCGACGGTGACGTCCAGGACCACGACGAGAGAGACGACGGTCGCACGGATGTGTCTGGGACGGGGTCCCTTTCTCCATCTCCTACTGCTTCCCGCGAGGGTACTGTCACTGTTACCGTAGGCGAGAGGACTACTACGAGAACTATCACGACGACTCGCCGCAATCTTGCCGCGCAGACTTCGGTCCCTGGGGGGGCTCCGAAGTTGGGAATTGGGAATGTCCTCCCTGCGGTTGGAGCTGTTGTGGTTGTGCTTGTGGCCTAAGGTGGATCGCATTTGGCAAGGAATAGGCCAATATTAAGGGAAGGTTAAGATATCCCTCTGTGTACTATCCACCCCCTTCCTCGTCCATTTTTCTATTCTCTTTGGAGGAAGGTCTCTTCTAGGGATTCAGTGGACTCCGGGTCCTTGCATGTTTATGACGCAACGGTGCTCGTCAGACTCATCTTAATTCTCGCTCCCCCGTTCTCCGGTATTTCGACAGACAATAATAGTAATAGTAATAATCTTTCAGCCCTTTTTATGCCCCGTACCCAGCCGGGGGTTGGTATATGAGAACCCAATGGGTCAGACAGCGCATTTCAGTGGATCCAAGATATGGTTAGAAATTGAAAAGGATCGAGGCATTGTGAACTGCTGTCAAAGGCCGTTGTATCCCTGAGACCTGTGCTGGGAGCCTGCACTCCCTTTGTACTGCTGTTGGCCAAAAGAAGGGTGAAGGGAGACGAGATAGCCGGATTGATGCAAGGCGTCTCAGAGTCTGAGGGTGTCATCCCCCACCCTCGAACGGAGCGACCCACGAAGCCGTCTTGACATGCGTCTAGCCAAAACATTTCTTTTCTCATCGCCAAGGGCCTAACATAATGAATCCAACCCGCTATCTGTGAAAGACCAGCTTCAGATGAAGCTTCTCACTTCTGTTTTGAGGGTATTATGAGGCGATGTCCTGGAGTGACAGTTGGCGGCAGGTGTGACTCATAATGACTCCTGCACTGCCTCTGCCTGAGATTCGGGAAATGACGTCCTTGGCCGAAGGTGGCGGGGGCTTTCAGAACTGCCCCGCCAAAATTTACTGAGGTTCAAGCACTGAACTGATTCATAAGCTGTGTGCCGGAAACGTCCACCTCGCAAGACATCAATTGAAGCTCAAACTGGACGCAGAGCTAGAGCTGAAGAGAGAAAGAGAAAAGCGCACAGTCCGAAGATGAAGCAAAGATTCTCCTCTCTCGATGTCAAGGTGCGCATCGAAATTGCCCGTCCTCTCTCCCTGTGCTAATACAAGCCCTGCAGGCCATCGCGCATGAGCTCTCCCAAAGCCTCGTGACGCTGCGACTCGCCAACGTCTACGACCTTTCCTCCAAGATTATGCTCTTCAAGTTCGCGAAACCCGATAGCAAGAAACAACTCGTCGTCGATGCCGGCTTTCGCTGCCACCTTACCGACTTTTCCCGCACGACAGCTGCCGCTCCGTCGGGCTTTGTCGCACGCTTGAGGAAGTTCCTGAAGACGAGGAGGGTGACCGAGGTCAGGCAGGTTGGCACGGACAGGGTTATCGAGTTTGTGTTCAGCGATGGGAGTTATCGATTGTTCCTCGAGTTCTTTGCGGTTCGTTCAATGGGGGAATACACAGCCAAAGTTTTACGAGCAAATGGGCTGATGACTGCGACTCTAGGGCGGCAACGTTATTCTCACCGATCACAATCTAAAAATCCTAGCTCTACTGAGGATTGTCCACGAGGGGGAAGGTCAGGAGCCGCAGAAAATCGGGTTAACCTATGCGATTGAGCAGAGACAAAACTACAACGAGGTTCCGCCTCTTACCCTGGAACGTCTCCGCGATGCTCTCCATACGATGGCTGAGAAGGCTGGGAAGAGTGGGGATGCTGGTGGGAAGAAGAAAAAATCGAAACCCGGAGAGGCATTGCGCAAGGGTTTGGCCACAACGATAACTGAGATTCCGCCTGTATTGGTAGAACATGTCCTTCGTGCAAGCGAGTTCAACGCCGACGCTTCCCCTACCGAGATTCTAGCCAGCAAGCAGCAAACCGATCTCCTATTCAACGCACTCCAAGATGCTCGGCGCTTGGTCGATGAGTCTCCCAGCACCGCAACCTGCAAGGGGTACATAATTGCCAGGCACAAGCCCGGATACACCCCAAGCACAGAACCTGACGCACCCCCAGCGAAACGAGAGAATTTAATATACGAAGATTTCCATCCCTTCGTGCCTCATAAATTCATCGGCAACCTGTCTTACACGATTCTCACCTACGACAGTTTCAACAAGACGGTTGACGAGTTCTATTCGTCTATCGAGGGTCAGAAGCTGGAATCTAGACTCCATGAGCGCGAGGCTACGGCGAAGAAGAAACTCGATGCCGCAAGAAAGGACCAGGCCAAGAGATTAGAGGGTTTGCAAGAAGCCCAGACACTTAGCAACCGGAAGGCGGCGGCCATTGAGGCCAATATTGAACGGGTCCAAGAGGCTATGGATGCTGTGAGCGGCCTTCTTGACAGCGGCATGGATTGGGTGGACGTCGGCAAGCTGGTAGCTCGAGAGCAAAAGCACGGGAACCCCGTGGCAGAGATTATCAAGCTTCCCCTGAAACTGTCAGAGAACACCATTACCCTTCTACTTGGTGAAGAGGAGGAAGATGCAGAATCCGACGCGGGATACTCTACGGATTCGTCTGCCTCCGACTCTGAGGGGGAAGGTAAAGCGAATGCTGCGGCGTCGGGGGCGGAAAAGCTTGCAATCGATATCAACCTCGGCTTGAGTCCCTGGGCCAATGCCAGAGAATACTACGACCAGAAGCGCACCGCTGCCGATAAAGCCCAGAAGACGGCTCTTCAAGCTGACCGGGCAATGAAGAGCGCCGAGCAGAAGATCAAGCAGGATCTAAAGAAGGGTCTGAAACAGGAGAAGCCTGTGTTACAGCTCCTTCGCCAGCAGTCCTGGTTCGAGAAGTTCATCTGGTTCATATCGTCGGATGGATATCTCGTGCTAGCCGGAAAGGATGCCTCTCAAAGCGAAATCCTGTATAAGAGGCACCTGAGGAAGGGCGACATTTACTGCCATGCCGACGTTGCCAACGCTTCGCACGTGGTGATCAAGAATAACCCATCTACACCTGAGGCGCCAATCCCGCCTTCGACACTCTCCCAGGCCGGGATACTATCCGTCTCCATGTCTAATGCGTGGGACTCTAAGGCGTTGATGGCGGCGTGGTGGGTTAAGGCAGAGCAAGTCTCCAAGACCTTGTCCGGAGGGCACGTTCTGCCGCCAGGTAACTTCACCGTTAGCGGAGAGAAGAACTATTTGCCCCCAGCCCCGTTGTTACTAGGATTTGGAGTTTTGTTCCGTGTTGGCGAGGAGAGCAAGGCCAAACATACGAAGCACAGAATTTACGAAGGATCTGGAAATGCAGTGAGTGAAGGCGTCTCAGCTCCTGATCTACTTCCTTCCCGTGAGAAGGAGACCGGCGCAGATGTAGCAGACGCTACGGTGCAGGAAAACCGTGAAGAGATAGAAGATGAGTCTGATGCCGAGGACCAGGATCAGCGACCTCCTACCAACCCTCTTCAGTCATCCGGCCACGGGGAGGAGGAGGAGGGAGGTGAAACGGAGGAAACCGAAATCGCTAAAAACACCCAGGCGCTCACTCTAGAGGAGAGTTCCGAAATCGGGAATGCCGGAGAGCAAAACGAGGACGAGAGAACCCTCGAGGACACAACGCCAGACCCAGAAGCAGAGTCCACCGCAGCACCCTCAACCTATGCGGCCAGTACAGTGACGTCCGAAAAGAAACAAGCTTCTAAACGTGGGCAACGCGGCAAGGCTAAGAAGATTGCCGCAAAGTACAAGTACCAAGACGAGGAAGATCGCCAAGCCATCGCCACTCTCCTCGGCTCAGCGGCAGGTCGGCAGCGAGCCGAAGCCGAAGCGAAGGCGAAAGCCCAACGGGAGGCCGAGCTCGAAGCACAGAGGGAGAGGAGGAGGGCTCAGCATCAGAAACAACAACAGGACGCCGCGGAGCACGAGGCCAGGAGGAAGCGCCTGCTGGAGGAAGGGCTAGATGTCGTCGGAGCCGGCGAGCCGGAAGATCTAGCGGCGGTAGAGGATTTCGTGGGGACACCCCTACCGGGAGACGAGATCCTCGAGGCGGTGGCCGTCTGCGCTCCGTGGGCGGCGATGGGGAAGATGAAGTACAAGATCAAGCTGCAGCCGGGGAGTCTCAAGAAGGGACGCGCCGTCAAGGATATGCTGGAACGGTGGAGGCATGATAGCGAGAGGAAGGGGAGCTTGGATCCCAGGGCTGAGGACATGGAGAAGATGTGGCCGAGGGAGGTGGAGTTGATCAAGGCGCTGAGGGCGGAGGAGGTGGTTAATGTTGTGCCGGTTGGTAAGGTGAGCATCATGGCTCCTGGCGGGGGTGGTGCTGCGGGTGGTAAGGGTGGGAAAGGAGGACAGCAAGCGAAGGGAGGCAGGGGAGGTAAGAAAAAGTGAAGGAGTTGCATAGACGCATAAGAGCATACAGGTTAAATGGCTTAAGCTTGACGATACATCATACTATGATGATAGATGGCATGGTTGGCATACGGAGATGGAGAGAGTCACGGGTTCTGATGACATGACGAAGGTTATTGTATGAAATGAGACTTGCATTTCTCTGCATGGCCATGTGCAGAGAGGCTCTTGAAACTCCGAGGGGGCATAAAAGCAATCTGAGACCCATCACATAAACCATTTCACCTCCTTAACCGGGATCCTCTTCGCGGCTCCTAGATATCCGGCTCGTTCGTTTCGTCACCGGTCACCTTCCTTCGGCTCCCAAACAGCCTCAATAACACTCATCCTACACCCTTCCGTTCTCGTAACACCCTAAAGGCCCCACGAATTAGTAAAAGCTCACACACCTTTTCAAGGGGAAAACCACACGTCGGACTTGCCTTGAAAACAAACCCGTCACTCGCAGCTCGGAACAGAGCCTCAAATTGCTTCTCCGTCCGCTCGTGCGCGTTGAGAATAGCCAACATGACCAGATCCATGCTGCGCATCACCTTTTCGTCGAATGGGGTTTCGGTGCCCGGTTCGCGGAAGCAGTGGTCATTGATGATGATCTTGGCGCCGGGTTTCAGGGCGGGGATGAGGGATTTGAGGATCTTGATGGCGTAGGGGTCGGAGTAGTTGTGGAAGATCCAGCGGAGGAAGTAGACTAACACGGTTAGAAGGGAAAGGAGAGAGGAGAGGAGGAGAAGCAGGGGGAAAAGGTCAAGGGGAGAGAGAGGAGAGAGAGTTTAACGAACCATCAGCATCCTTGACGACTTGATCGGTAAAGAAATCGTGTGCCTGGAGCGTGATCCTCTCTGCAACTTGCTCATCGTCACAGATTGGCTTGGGCGCAGTGTCGATAGTCCTCTGGAGATCTTGCACGACAAACTTCATGTTTCGCCATCTCTGGCCAATCTCGACGCAAGCGAACCCGTGGCTACCACCAAGATCAACGAGAGTACCTCCTCTCGAGTCAACGTCGCTAAAGTCGTAGCTGTTCACAAGGTGAGATACTTCATAGCCCTTCCCTCCAGACAAACTAGCCATAGCGAGAGCCATCCTCTTAGCCCGCGGGGGGTCCTTTGCAAAAGTCACAAACATCGGCTCCTTGTCAACGGTTCCGTTCGCAAAGTTAAAGCCGGTCCGGGTCAGCGACGTGGCTTCGGGGTGTTTCTTAAGGGCTTCCAGGACGTGCGCGCCCGCGGGGAAGATGTCCTCGAGCTGGAAGCCCAGCCAGGCCGTGAGGTTCGTATCTTGGGCGAGAAGGCGCGAGGTGGGTGTGTGGGCGATGACGCCGGGGGTTGGCTCCCGGAAGAAGCCGTTGGTCATGGCGTGGCGGAGGACTCGGGCGAGGTTGATGGGGTCTAGGGTTGTTTTTGTACCGAGTTCTTCTAGGGTGATGGTTCCGTCGAGGGGGACGAGGGATGCTGGGCTAGAGTTAGGAGGGGTTAAACCGATGGATTTGAGGACTGTGCCGTACCGATTCCAAAGTGGTTTATTATCTGAACGCTCATCGAGTCCAAGAACTGAGATTCGAATTAGCGGACATCCCTTGTATAGAGCCTATGGGGCATCGCGAAGGGAACACTTACACCCCAGGTCGCCCATCGGATCGTCTCTACTGGGCCGCGAGCGAGCCACTGCAGCTTGCTCGAGTTTCTTTGAATCCTCTGCCGACTTTCCTGGATTTCGGGAGGTAGATCCGGGAAGTCGGAAGGGCTATCGGAGCCGAGTCCGGGTATCGCCAGGTCATTTTCCTTCAGGTAACTGTCTAGAATCTCGGCATCGGCTGTGATCTTCCTTGCGAGAGATAGGATCGGGGAGTCTTCCATGTCTACACTTGGCGGGGTTGTCAACCTTGGTGGCCCCACGAATGGATGATGCTTCTTGTTCACGTTTGCGGCTTCGATTCCCGGTATCGATTGAGTAGTTCGAAATGAAGCAGGTGATATTGGAGTACGTTAGAAGTGCAATGCGAATCACCGGCTTTGAGGAATATAAGACATCAATGAAGATTGGACTGAGGGCGGCTGAGTGTTTGGTCACTTCATGTTAGTCCGTCGGGAAGGTTAACTCGCCCCATTTAAAGCACGAACGGATTTACAAGGGTCTTTGTTGTTAGGGTTGGTTTCGCCAAGGAGTCTATACACTACACTAGTGTACGAAGGTAGTGTACGAAGTAGCCGGTAAAGGAGACCTCCTCGATGGAACTCTATGAAGTAGGAGATAGAGAAGCGGAAGAGGACCAACTACTTTGAATGGATCACAGGCGAGATGACGACGCAAGGACGGACTTAGACCGGCCATTGTCAAGGAAAAGCCTTCCATTGCCTCAATCCAATGTTCCCATGTTCAACCAAAGAAAAAACACCTGTCATTTATATCCGAATGATCACGAAGTATTTACCTCAAGCGCATCGTCCCGCAATCATGGAACGCCGAACACACGAAGTAACCATCATCAACCCCTCCTCCCCTGGTCAGAATCGTCAAAGGGAGCTCTCGAAGCATTTAAATTGGCAAGGGGGGCGCTAGAATTCCGATATCTAACCATGTCCGGCTAGTGGCATGACCCAGCGGGTAACGTCATGAAGCCCTGAGGTTTTCCAGACATTCGCTACCTGAGGGGGACCAGTGACATTCGCAAGAACGCGGATTTCCTCCGTGGAGGGGTCGCTTTCGCGGAAGGGGATTCGTTCGTTTCCCCGAAGACTGGGGGGATCATGGGGCATCATGGGTGATCATTGGTGATCATTGGTGAAGGTTGCTTGGCGGACTGCGGAATCAAAGCCAGCGGTCCCCTAAACTCTTTCCGGCGAACAACCCCATTTGGCAAAACATCCTGCAGGGTTTCTCCACTACGGAGCGAATCTTTCCATTTCCATTGAATGCAACAAGTGTGGGTTGGTGGGTTGAAGTTGTTATTTAACCTCGTGCAGTTGCGGCTGATGCTAACGCTCTCGAGCATGGATCCGGACGGCAGCATCATTGAGAACTTATATGGGAATTGGGCTTCCAATTGGGATCTCTTGTTAGAGTTGGCGGAATTGACCTCGGACGGTAGACGAATCTGAGTATCGAGCTCTCATCTGCAGTGGGAATGCTAGGGTCGTCCGACATGCATCTTTTTTTTTTTTTTCAAAAGCCGGACAGTCGAGGCTTCCCGGGGCCGCTGAAGGCTCCGGAAGCATCGGGGAATACGGGGAATACAAGACGTTTTCGGTCGAGCATATTCAATACGAAGTTTTTGCTCAGAGGACGCGTGGACGCACGCGCTTGGCCCACCTGACAGATAGTGTATATCCTCCCCACGCACACGCCCACGCAGCTTCTGCCCGCTCATAGATAGCTCGAGAGTTACCGCCAAGGGGCATGCGTCGCGTCTCAGGCCTCCATGGTCGCTACTAGCGGTCACATCTCAGATCAACGCAATTTCAATCCCGACTTCATCAGGGTTCTCGTGAGAGGTGAGACGGATGGAACCCTTGGCACATGTTCACGAGGCAAGGCCTTTTGTTGCAGGACCGAGGTAGTACTCCCGGAAACGTTACTTCCGTCGATTGAACTTGGGTTGTGCTTACTCTGCTCTCTCCGTTGATGGTCCGGGGTATCGCTCTTGGCTCGGAACCAGGAACGACACCCTCAGCCCCAGCCCACGGACCAGACGGTGAACCAGTTGTAATACTTTGAAAGCGGAATCTCCTGTCCAGTCGAGCCGTGGTAACAGGGCGGCCTTCTTGTTTCTTGGACGCAATCATCAGATGCGACCAAGGGGAATCTGGATATCCCCATATGAATCGATTACTCTTCGGGTCGGTAGGGCTGGCTGTCTCCTGCCCTGGCTAGTTCTCAGATCTCTTCGAGCTAGGGCATACTGGGGTACGTTGCCCGTCCCAAAGATCGCCTACAGAAGGAAGGAAACCGGAATGTTCACATCCAATTTCCTTCTACTCGCGTGCAGTCTTCACGCTTAGGCGGAGATATTGTACAATGGCCGAGGTGAGTTTACTTCTGGTATTATTTCTTAACTCAACAGCAAAGATCGGCAATCAGGGCACCTAGATCCACCAAGCGCGTCCTCTGAACTGCCAAACACCGCCCTTGACCTTTTCGACGGTAGCAGCATAGCAAATACTCCGGGCAGGATCGCCTAGTCACAACCATCCACATCGTTCTGTGCTCGATAACCCCGTGTGAAAACTGATGGGCCGGAGTAATGGAACAACACGTTGAATGGAGGCGGCGTAGCCCTTCTCTAGTCGAGATCAAGGCCGTCATTCTAGGAGCGAAGGCTGGAAGCAATCCCCCCCATGATCACGATCCTCAACTTCTCGCTGGACGATGTCGAAGAGCACTAGCCCGTGACAGGCTTGTATCGCCGGGTATGTCTTTGGTGAGGCTGCCATGGGAATGGCGACTCTTGCGGTCGTCGCGACTCATCAGCGCCAGAACTCACCATGGCAGACCGTTACAAGTGATCAGGAAAGGACTGCCCGGCGCCGCAACTGGCCCGGGCAGGACTCTTAAATTAAGAAGGAGCTCAATCTCGCACGAACCAGCAGCATACATTGAAGGATCCAGGTCTGAGTGAGCGAAAGGGTCTGCAACCTGCAGGGGCAATTATTTATGATGAGAAGAAGCAAGTCCAAAATGGAGTGGGAGGCGCATTGGATCCACGGCCTGAACAGAGGCGAATCGTGACAGTCAAATCGATTGCCCATTTATGCTCTGGCAGAAGGCATAGCGAGCGCTCCAATGCCGCTCCGAATTTCCCTCTCAATCAAATTCCTCCCTCCTCCTCCTCTACCCTTCCGGACTCTCAGAATGGAGCCTGAGGAGAGAATCGAAGCAGTGGACATCGCTTCTCATCGATACTCATGCTTTCGTTGCGGAGGTCTAAACTTCGCTTAAACTTTACCCCAAAGGCAAAGGCTCAACGTCGTCAGTCAATCTCCAACATCATCAATTATCATTTGATGATTCCAAGAGTCTTTGAGCCCAGGATGAGCGCCTAATTTGACCCGACATATAACTCCTTTTTGATTCTACTGTTTAATTCGGGCTCCAACTTGAAGTCGATAAATGGACTCGATGAGTTTGGCCTCCCAGACCCGTGAGAATGCGGAGTCTGACTCTCGAACTCGGAGTAACCTTGAACTGCCACGCATCGAGATATCGAGATCTACACCGCATTGAACCCGCGTTCTCCCTACATCAATGATACATGCCTCATTCGATGATAAGTTGCGATACATTTATGATACATTGTAGCTCATTCCTAAGCCACGTCGATCTTCGACTTTCCAGTGGGTGCTGGGTGTTGTACTGCAGTGCTGCTCAATCTACGCATCCGGGTATTTGCAGGCGCTCTACCCCGGGTACGAATACGATCCGTCATTTATCGCGGCCACCCGTGCGAGTATTCGGCCTACTGAAATGCGAGAACACTCATTGTAAAACCCTGAGGATGCCTGCCAGGAGCGATTGCGGGACGGACTCGGGTTAAAGCGAGCTACCGATGGTGTTGAACACCTTTCAACGTGGCCCAAAACGAACCGCCTCTCATGTTGAATCAGGAAGCAGGAATTTCCATTCAAATTGACCATATTTCTATTGGTAGGAGCTATCCAAGGACTCCCTTGTACATCTCTATTCACAGATCTTGCATCAATATAATACATATATATATATACATCCAGGACCAACCCCTCAGTCCCAACTCCACGCGCGCCAGCCCTTATCCCATCATCGCCATCTTTTCTTGGGAATAGATCTGGCAGACCTGCTTCCCTCCATCTGAGAACGTGAAGATGGCTGATACAAAGACTCTCGACCTCTTCACGCAGCGGTGGCCTCTCCTCGCGGCCGCAGCCGCTACTTTCCTTGGAGCCAGTCTATTCCAGTACTTGTACAAATGGAATATTATATCCTCGATCCCTCTAGTCGGGGAAGAAATAGGGGATGCCGAGAAACGCAGGGTCGCTTATATCATGGGTGCCAAGCGCCTCTACGAGGAGGGCTATAAGAAGGTAGAGTGGCTGTTGTTTAACAATTGACCACCTTGTCTATTCAACGGACGCCGTGAACACTCAGGGGTTTGTTCTAACACGTTTCTTTCCTCGCATTCAGTTCAAGGATGGCGTGTTCAGGGTCACTACAACCAAGGAACGGGCCACCATTGTCGTCTCTCCCAAATTCCTCGGCGAGCTACAGAAACTCCCAGACGATGTCATTAGTATGCGGGCCGCCATCCAGGAGGTAGGTATTCCTCCCTGTCGAGGGCCTTTGTTATTTCTTTTTCAATTTTCCCCTCCTACTTTCGAATTGACTCTCTAATTTATCTTTTATGTGCTCCAGCTCATGGAAACCAAGCACACAAAGCTTCGGGTTGATGACAATTTGAGGATCGCAAAAATCGTCAGGCTTGATCTTACACCCGCTCTAGGTATACCTGTCTTGGTTTTGTTTAATTCCAATGTTGGACTGATCAGCAGATATTAGTTCGTTTCAATCCCACCATCGCCGAGGAGGTCGGAGAGTCTTTCAAGTTGGAGCTCGATATCGGCGACGACTGGACGGAAATCAACATTTACGCGAAACTCCTTCGAATCGTGGCCATGGTATCCGGTAGGATCTTTATTGGTCCCGAACTCTGCCACAGCGAGGAGTACCTCGATGCCGCCATCAACTACACCATCGAAGTCATGACCGCCGTTCAGGACATTGGCCGCTTGAAGTGGTTCCGGGATCAGCGCGCCCCTTACTTGCCTTCGGTGAAGCGCTTGGATGCGAGGGTCGAGCAGGCGTTGAACTTTCTGCAGCCTGTTATCTCGGCTAGGATGGAAGCTGCTAAGCACGATCTCGAGTATGAGAAGCCCGATGACCTGCTTCAATGGCTGATAGAGTCCGGCGTGAAAGCCGGAAAGGCAGACGCCAATGGCATCGCGAGGACGCAGCTTGGTCTGAGCTTCGCGGCTATTCATACTACGTCGATGACAGCTACGAATGCGTTAGTCCCTTTCTTTTCCCGCACAAAGGAGAGGGGAAGAGAGCGGGAACACCTAGCTGACAACATGCCCCTGTAGCTTCTATAACCTCGCGGCTCTGCCCGAGATTGTGCCAGAACTTCGCCAGGAAATCCGAGATGTACTGGCGGAAACAGGAGGTATCTTTACGAGCCAAGCCCTCCAGAAGATGAAGAAACTAGACAGCTTCCTTCGAGAAACGTCCAGAGTCGACCCTCCCAGCTTCAGTAAGACGAACACCATTTATGAACCATCCCAGTCCCCATTGCGAACACTCAAAGCCTCTAACACTATCTATTTGTCTTCCCCTAGCGGCGTTCCATCGTAGGGTTCTCAAGACTGTCACTCTGTCCTCCGGCCAAGTTCTCCCCGCCGGCGTGATGATCGAAGTCCCCTCCATCGGCGTCAACCACGACAACGACGTCTACCCCGACAGCGACAAGTTCGATGCCTTCCGATACTCGCGTGTGCGAGAAGAAAGTGCCAAGGAGAAGGGTCCGCGATCCGTCGAGGCGGCGGCGGCGAACCAGTTCGTCAGCGTGCACCCGCACCACTTGTCGTTTGGGTACGGGCGACACGCGTGTCCCGGAAGGTTCTTTGCGGCGAACGAGATCAAGATGATTTTGGCCAATGCGATTTTGAGATACGATGTTCGGAACGTTGATTCGACGGCTGGGCGGATTCCTAATTTGGAGTTTGGAGTGATGGTATGCTATTTGTCTCCCAAACGTTGCTTGATGTTAGAGCTCTATGCCGGGAGCTGGAGTGGTTGCTAATGATGCGTATAGTCTACCCCCGACAGCTCCAAGTCGCTTTTGTTCCGAAATGTTCAGGTTTGAGCGCAGGTGTCGCATCTTCCTACTCCTAGTCAAGCAGGCAGGATGTGAGATGAGCGAATTCGGGGATTCGGGGCCATGGTCTAAGGTTGATTTTCCACCCCGCCGTTTGGTTTATATGTATACATGTGGAACTAGAAGGTTCATCTGAAGTTGATGCCGATTTTCTTCTCACTAAACACACTGGAAGGCAAGGCTATTGCAAATCCAATGGTCCGGTCGATGTATAAGATAAATCAATCTCAAGCAGATGGCTCTTCTCACACCTCTGATCACAGGACACTCAAAAATAAAAATAAAAAATAAAAAACACTCCAAAATACATTATCCGTATATACATATATAATAAATGATTCTGTGGCCCTCCCCAAAGTACATGAAGTCGTTGATGTTGAGTTGGGGTATGTGGCGAGAGGTGGTCTTTGGTTTGAAGTAGATGAATGTGTGGTTTGGTTAAGAGTGTGAAGCCCCGCAGTGCTAAACAAGCTGGATTAAACTCCAAGAAATTCTGCTCAACATCCGCAGAAGGCGCTCTAACCTCACATCTCAATGACAGCAGTCCTCATCGAGTCTTATAGACTCACAATGACAGCTCTTCAACCTCCCTTTGAGGCTTCAGTCTCCAACACATCATCGGAAACAGCCGACAAAATAGCAAACCTCGTCCATGAACACTTCAATAGCCTCCCGAGGAAACGAAAGCCTGCCATACGGGATACGGGGGTTCATGAATGGATACCGCTGAGCAGCATCGTTGCAGAACGGAATGGAGAACTGCGTTGTCTGTCTCTCGCGTGGGTGAATCATACTTGGCGCTATCCAACGGCCTACTAACATCCATTTTTACAGGACGGGCATGAAGTGCCTCCCAGCAGCCAAGTTAAAAGAAACAAACGGGAACGGCCTCCACGACTGGCATGCCGAAGTCCTCGCCATCCGCGTCTTCAACCATTACCTCCTCTCAGAGGCTCGAAGGCTATCTCAGACCGGCGGCGAGGATAACGAATCTTTCATCTTACGACGGTCGATGGCTGACCCGGGGATGAGCCAGCCGTTCACCGTTCATGACGACGTAAGATTGTACATGTACTCTTCCGAAGCCCCGTGTAAGTGGTCAGCCCTACTAATAATCCCCGACACTTAATCCCTTCTATCTCATGTGTTGACAGCTTTGATACTATTCATATAGGCGGCGACGCGAGCATGGAGCTCACAATGTCAGCCCAAGAAGACCCAACACCATGGGTCATCCCCCCAGCGCCCGCTTCCTCATCCCCGGGGACCACACCATCCGCCTCACTCCTCCACGGACGTCAATACTTCTCCAACCTAGGCATCATCCGCCGCAAACCCTCCCGCCCAGACGCGCCCCCCACCCTCTCCAAGTCCTGCTCCGACAAACTAACCCTCTCCCAAGCGACCTCCCTCTTATCCTCCCTCACCTCCCTCCTCGTCCACCCCTCAAACGCATATCTCACCGCCCTCATCATCCCCTCAGCGTCCTACGTGCCGACAGGCTTCCAAAGATGCTTCTTCGACAGAACAGAACCCCTACGCAATTCCACCTGGGAAGGAGGCTATCACTTCCATCCCCTCGAACTGCTAACTACACCCATCGAATTCGACTTCTCCAAACGACAAGCAACCGCGCGGTCAAAAGGGAAAATAGCCCCATGCAACGTCTCGGCCGTTTGGGGGGCCCATGGCCTCGACGAGGGTCTGGTCGGTGGCGTCGTTCAGGGACGTAGGGCGTTTGAGGAGAGGGGCGCGAGTGCGCTTTCGAGGAGGAGGATGTGGTGTTTTGCTCTGGAGGTTGCTGAGCTGCTTGGGCGAGACGGGGAGGAGATACGTGAGACGCTGGGAGTGGAGAGGTATGGGGATGTTAAGGAAGGGGCGCGGCTAGAGGAGAGAAGAGAGGTGAAGAAGTTTGTTTGGGAGGAGGCCCTGATGGGATGGGTGCGGAATGTTGGTGATGAGGCTTTTACACTAAAGTAAGAGACTCTTGACGACTCATAGCGAGGTGTCCAAAGTAGGGAAGCATACATCTACACTCAAATCGATGGCAGGCCTAAGGCACCAAAGAAGTTACCTGCGTATGAGTCTGTATTCAGTCCCGGAGATGATCTTATAACAACTTCCTCCTTGGCTCAACCCTTTAAAAATGAAATCGCTCCGGCCATTTTTTGAGGCGCATTTTCCCGTTAACAATTCATCATCACCGCAGAAAAAAAGAGAGAAGAAACCGTCACCGTCATATTTCCATTTCCTCGTTGGGTTGATTTTGAGAATAATGCCACAACTAGTTAGCCGCCAGGATATCCGCTCATTTTCTACCAAAATGAGTCTTGATTTTTTTTTTTTGTTTTCGCTTTTCCTTTCACGAGAGGGGAGGAAAGGAGGGGTAAGGAGGAGAAAAAGCGATCGGGAAGGATAGGAAGATGAGAGAAGTAACGAAGAATGGCAATATCCCATAAAGCTATCCGCGCTTAGAAACCCTCATCCAAGCACAGAAGTCACTCTCGACGGCGTCGTATACCGGGACAAAAACTCTCCCTCCATCTCCCTTTTACTCAACCTTCGACTCGAAGTTCTCGCCCTCAACAAGGTCGGGGATGTCCTCGTCGTCCTCATCCTTCTTCTGGAGCTGGTAGCTCTCGGCGAGCTTGCGGAGGGAAGCCAACGAGTCGGGGCCAAGCTGGTTAAGGATGCCGGGAACAAGCTCAGTAAGCTCCTTGTCCTCGCCGTTACCATAGATGGCGAAAGTGTTGGCTTGAACAGCGGCGTGAACTGGATTCATGGGGCACTATGCGTTAGACAACCCGCGAATGACGCAACACACCCAGATATATACATATATATCTGCGCATTAGGAGGGGTTAGACAAAACCTACCACGGGGGGCCGAAAAGTGGATGACATTTCCGTCCTCCTTGAACATGTTGACCTCCTCAATGGCCTGGATAGGCTGGACGTTGAGCTTCTTCAACGTGGCCTGGAGCTTCTTGTCATCGGTGCCAGAGCGGGCCGGCGCCCTCTTAACCTTACGCCTGGGAGTACCCTTGCCACTATTCAGCCGAGCTCGTTAGTCCATCACGCACATCATACAAGGCCCTCGGTCTATTTCTCGATGGTTCGGGGAGGGGTAGCCGCATCGCGTGACGGAGGGAGGGGAAGGTCTTGCTATTACGTACCCTAGGAGAAAAGCAGGTCAGTGACAAAGGTTCATGTGTGGGGTCGACACAGCAATGAGGCAAGACAACAACTTACCAATGCGGGCGCTGGCACCGAGCTTCTTGAGGCGCTCCTGAACTTCTGAATCCATATTGGTAATCTCGGTATGTGACGGATGCGAGAAGGCGGAGAAAGGGCGGGAGTGAAGGGGTCTGAGAAACTGGGGTCAAGGTCAGGATTTTAGCGGCTACACTCTCCAATTGCAACAACCTTGCGCGGGCAGAACAACGCAATGCGATTCAATCGGGCTCGATAGACCCCTTGTATTTGGGGAATAGACGAATGACGTCGGTGAGGGGGAGTCGAAAAGGGCTGTACGTACAGGTCAAAGATCCGAGATATTGGGGGTTGAATTCGGTATATGAGGTTTTGCTGGGGGAATGATCGAAAAAAAGTTACTGGCTCTGAACCCCAGCGTTTGTGCGTGCCAAGACTTCCACAACACCAGGGAAAATATCGGTAAAAAGACCTCACGAAGTTATTTGAAGCTTGAAGGTGACAATTGTGAGTGTGGGGTTAAGGTGCTGCTCATGTCAGCAATTGGGCTCGGCGACAATGGACAAATTCAGGTCCCGCATTGGATCTCACGTGAGGGCTCGCCATCGTTCGGACTTGGGAGAGTACTCATTACTTCGCATCATGAGTAAGAAGCCGTCAGCATCATCCTCGGGGAACTCGGGATGCCGGGTTCAACGTGTTGGGCTTGAGATTGAGTAATTCTGAGATATAAGCCTCCATCGAGTCGTATTTCCAATATTATTTGCTTATTTTCTCCGCCTTGTAGTCGAGTCGAGATAAGTCTTACAGTTCCCTTTGATGTCATGCGGTTTACCTCGGTAGGTCCGCGTAGATTTGCTCCCCGTAGAAGAGTCTTTTTCATCCACCAAACGCCAACCCTGATGAGCAATGCCTATATATCATACAGTTCCAACCCCACCAATCCGAACTCGTGACAAGTAATTATAACAAGCCCTGAATGGCTGCGTTACTCGGTCGCTTCGAGTCCAGCCTCGAGACGCATCTGTTGCCTTCTCGCCCGAGCATCCGCCGCATCCTGTCGCATCTGGGCCCTCTCTTTCTTCTTCCTCTCATCCTCCATCTCCTTCAGAGATATCCAAACTAAACGCCACCGACCGGGGTTAGCAATTCCAGTTTCGCCCTTTAGATGAGAGACCGAGGGCGGAAAGGGAGGACCATACTGTGCTTGTCAGACTTGGACGCCTGCTTAATCATAGAGACGAAATCGTCGAACTCCTGCTCCCTCTTATCCTTATTCTCCAAGCTTCTCTTCTGCAGGTCGGGATTGTATCGCTTGAACAGTTCCTCTTGAGTTGGGATGAGCTTCATGGTAAGGTAGGGACCGCCGACGGAGATGGCAGCTCCACTGTTGGATTGAGCTGTTAGCCTCAGATCAAGCTCCTCAAGAATCCGGGAAGCTAGGAGGATAAGCACTTACCCAAGCAGGACCTTGGTCCACAACCACCAGTTAAATGGCTTCTTGGACATTGTAGCGGCAGGCGTAAAACACGTCAAAAGTTTGGTTTCAAGGTCGTGATGCACAGATAAAATGCGCTGGTCCAAATGCCCAAAATCCTATTCGTCGGCAGTCGGCAGAATCGAGTCAAAAAGATGACCCCTTAATTAGGAAGGCGGTCTATTTGAAAGATTTCTCCTGCCCAGAGCAGTGTACTCTTTCGGATGTACAAAATACACAGTGTTAATTCCGGGAGATCTGGTCGAAAGACGAAACGGAAACACCAGAGCGTGCTTTGGTAGTTTGTTACAGGAGCCGTTAGACTCTTCCTCAGAGGATGGCCCGAGACGTGAACCGGGGTTTTCTGTAACTGTGACCACATCTCAGATGTCAGAGGAATCAGTGAGGCTCCCCGAATCCTTGTTGACTCGCTCGACAGATCCCGGACCTAATGTAGGTGAACGGAGGACAGCCGTTTCGTGATACCCCTTACTCCAAACAACGTGGAGCCAGGGAGCCAGTATTGTATTATTGTCCTCTGTTGTCTGGCTCCTGCTGAGTGGTTGTTTGACGAGATGTGATTCACTGGCGGTGCTCGGATTATGGACTCCATCTCTCCCATATCCCGTCTGATCGCGGCGGAATAGCTCGTACTCCGTACGGAAGACAGGCGCAGTACAAGTACCTAAATGCAAGGGACGCTGCCAGGAGGGCAGTCATTATGATTCTTGAGAAATCCATTCGAGTGTCTTTCCCCCGTTTCTATTTCGTAAGGAATCCCGGGAAAGCAAGCGACCTGGCTGATACAGCTTGTTCCGGGATAAGGACCAGTTCCCACGGCGTTCATCATCTAGACCCTACCAGAGTTGCAGATGGTTGTTCAAGGGGACGGGTGGCGTCGAGGACCAATCATGTTGATGATTGCAGTCCTCTTGGGACAGCGCAAAGCTCTTTTGGCTGAGCCTTGAGATTAGACTACATTGGGATACTGAGCGGTAGGACACCACCATGAGTTGGGAGTGGATGGAGTCCTGTGATTTGATGAGGCGCAGCCTTAAGGCGATGAGCATTTCTCCAATGTCGGGCGGGTGATCGTCTCGACAGTGAGGCCTCTTGGAATGGAAGTAACGGAGAGGGTCATGTTGCTCTCCGCGTATTTATTTCCCTCGTTAAGGGTACCGGCTGCGGATTTGTTGTCACTGCACTGCGTAACACGTACGACGCCAACCCATTGCTTAGGCATTTAGATGCTGTCTTATAGTGATAGGGTGCTGTCACGCATCAGACCCTTGACCTCTCTGCTGACCCCCATTCGCTCCCTTTTGAGATAAAATGTTCTTGAACTTGCGGAGCCGCCGGATCCGTGCCAATGCCGAGTCCTTCCTGTCGTGCTCCACAAGGACGCGAGTCCCTCTGCAATGTCCGAAATAAACGAAGGGGGGAACGTGAGAGAAATGTTAAAGGGTCGGTCTTGGCGACTTACAATGCTGGCAAGGCTTGATTGGATGGGGGGGCGCATGATGAAGTGGAAAAAGGGCCATAAGTGACAAGGTGAAAGGACGATCCTGTTATGAAAAGTCCTGGGAAAGTCTTGCGAACTTGGACCGGAGAAAAATCATCGAGGTATTTTGGGACGGGAGTTTGGGACGGGCGCCAGCTCAGTGCAGCTCAGTGGAGTCTTGGCTTTGGTACCTGCAGACTCGGTGGATTTTATTGATCCAGCAATTGATCCCTTGGTCGTAATGCCCCTGGCGTTGAACGACGGCAATACAAGTATCTCGTCCGTCTCCTGTCACCACCACATCACGTCACGCGAATTAATGGCTCTCGCGCTGTATTCTAAAGTACTCGATGCCCACAATCAGCAGGAATTCGGCTTTGTACCTGTGTAGTACTTTACGCGATCAATTAGACTCGGTCTTAACTTGGTCGCAGCGTTGGACTTGCTTCGTACTAGTACTCGTAATGTTCCAGTCGGTGCCTTTTTCCGATCAAGCTTGCTCTTCCTTCACCAGCGGAAGGTCCAAGACATTAAGCTATTCAACAGATGTCTTCGTTCCTTCCAGGAACTTCCCAGCATCGTTGTCATTATGGTCAGATGAAGGGGGCTCTAGCGTTGTATTTGCAGGCATCAATCCGGGTCAAAAACACTCGGAGGATCGTAGCAGCGGAAAGCCTCCAAGCACTTGCCTAGCCGCTTCTCCGGCAGGAGCGTGGTATCAAACCTTGTTAGGTTTTCTCCGACACAGCCTGGCTTCGATCAATGGGCCAGGCCAGGGCCTGGAACCGTTAAACACCAGTCACAAGCTCAGGCCACACCGGGCTCAAACATAGCAGAGGAAGGAGGGACTAGACTGAACGGTTGCTACTCTCGGGTCTTGAGAACAAAATATTTACTTGTTAATGGTACATTGACCCATCAGTTTTCCCTTCCTGTCAGGCACCTCCGCTTCACCTTCCGAGCCTAATTCCAACGGCTTCGTCCTGGAGAATGGAGCCACCCGGTTCCTTCCTCTCTTCGACTGTTGATCTTCGGGATTCGTCCGTCACGCCCCAATAACCCATTGGCCCGTTCTAACTAACCCATTATTAGATTCAGACTCACCGTTACAAGTTGAAGTTGGTGTCGTGTACGAATTACTCCTGATCCTTGCTTCTATTACCATTCAATACAACATTAAACTGCAACTACACGACCTTATTAAACTGTTCTTAGCATTATCGATCTCTACCTGTGAGGTCCTGAGCTTTTATTAGTTCTAGCAGGTTACTGGACAAAACCGAAACGGTCAACGACGGTCCACGGTCCACAGTCCACATGCCATGCCCTCACCAGTAATGACCTGTCTGACTGTCAGTCTCGAAACTCTCGATGCCTCTCTGGCTTTGGATTGGCGTCCTCCCCCCCACACAGACGCAACGTCGAATAGCCGTTAGGAGTTAGTGTACTTGTACCTCGTGCCCTTCCCATGAGTACTGAGACCCCCTCCAAGTCCAAGAGTCTTGTTCAAGAGCCCCATCAACGGCCCCTTTTACCCCAGCTTCCCGATTTACCAGCTAAACCAGGCCGCACCGCATTTCGTTTTCTTGGGAACGCGGCTAATGGTGAAGAAACGGGACACTAAAAAAAAGCCATTTGTTCCCGTGCGACTTTTTTGGGGTTCCCCTGTTGAGTTTGAATCGGATCGTTCTCGAAGTATAATCTCCGCCCGCCCCTACAAACTTCCTCCAGTCAGTTACCCTCCAACGAATCGTGGGCTGTTGACTTCCCTTGCCGAAACGTCGATCAACTCTCCGACCGAAGCGGGTGCAAAATAGTTCGCGGTAGCAAACCTACCTGCTGTACCCCAATACTGTGCTCCATTTTCTCTCCTGTACCTCCTTTTTCTCCAAACCCAACCATGAATAGCATCTAATCGAGGTGCTGGTTCGGAGCTGCCTTTTCCACTGACACGCCGAATCGGGACTCGCGACTCTGCATTCAGACCAGATAGAGAGTGAGAGAGACGAGGCGCTAACCCGACTGCAAAGTCGTCTCCCCGACAATTCCTTCTCGACGCTCTCTCGAGCTCAGACGCCCACTTTTCCGAGACAGCTTCCTCATACGTCCTCGTCAACTTCAGGTCTTGGGAAGCTTTTGCCTCCCAATTCTCGACCGGTCTTCCCGTCGCCAGAGAAGAGAGGAAAGGCACTCGCGCTCTTTCCGCTCTTGCCTCGGCAATCGAGAGAACTGGGCAGGCCGGCCTGTCGGGTGTAGACGATCCGATCTGTTTAATTCTTATTATTGTTATTACCACTTTTATTTTAGAGACGGGTCCGACGCATAGCGCTGAACAGAACCGACGACGCCATCATGGCTTACGAAGGAGCGTACCAGACACCACAACGTGCCTACACTGGGCCAGCGCCGCCGCGGCAGAACCCCGCCCCCGCCCCAATGCAGGGCCCTGGACCATATCCACAACAGGGCTACGACAACTACCAAGGTGGCCAGGGCTACGAATACTATGACGATGGAAGCGGCGGTTATGGGCCCGAGTATGGCCAGCAATACCAAGACCCCGGCTATGGTCAGGCACCCCCGCAAGATCAGAGATTCCCCCCTCCAAGGCAGGATTATTACGGCCAGCCTCCCCCGATGGCCGGCGGTCGAGGTGGACCTGGTCCATTACCACGCGCCCAAACGATGGGGAATATGAGAAACGGTCCATACCCCCCACGCGGAGGAGGCCAACCTCCTGGACCTGGTCGGGGCTTCCCAAATGGCCCTCCAAGGGGTGGCGGCCCTCCCGGCGCATACGGTAGGGGACCGCCGCCACCGATGGATCTGTCTCGTAAGTCCTATTCTCCCGGCCATTGCCCAGTAGTATCGAGACATATTCAGAACTGCTTGCAGCTAACTCGCTTTTTTGTTGTGTCGCAGAAGGTCAAGGCGGGCCACCCATGAATGGTATGAATGGTGGCATGAGAAGTCCTGTGAATGGCAGATTTGGTGGCAATCAATATCCCCCGAACCCCAACCAACCAAGAAGAAACGACTACGATGAAGCACAGTTATCGAATCAAATGGCCGGGATGGATATTTCGCAAAGACCAGGCATGCCAATGAGTCGGAACAGCGACGGTTCTCAAAGAAGCATGGTGCGACCCCCCGACGGAGGCCTTCCTCCCCCCGGACCTCCTCTTGGCTTCGAAGAAGGACGGCGGGGTTCCGAGCCTGCCCCGAATCCCTACCAAGGACCTCCTGGTGGGCCTGGGCCTGTAGATCCTAACCAAGGATATGCCGATCCAGGATACGGTCCCGGACCACGAGGACCGCCAGGAAATGAATACGGGCCGCCTTCGAGAAGTATGACGTTGCCAGTAAATGACCCTATGCAACCACGACAGAACCAAATGGGCCCTCCCCAACGAATGGGACCGATGCCGTATGGACCTGGACCCAATCGAGGAATGCCCCCGCCACCAAGGCCGGCGACATCCCAAGGTCAGCGGCCACCCCCACAAAGAATATATCCCAACCAAGGTCCTCCACCCCAGGCCGGATACGGCGCCGGGCCTGGCTATGGTAACGGACCTCAGCACCCAGCGAGGCAAGGCTCTCGCGCTTCGTACGATGACATATTTGACAGCTACGGCGACTACGGCCCCCCTCCGCCCAATTCCTCTAATGATATGCCGAACTTCGACGCTATTCCCCGCCATGGACCCCAGAGTTCCATGGATCTACATATGCGTCCCGGCGGTCTACCAAATGGTCCAGGTCCCGGTCCGCAACAACCAGGACTCAACCTACCTCGTACCAAATCTCAGCCGAACCTCCGTAATGGCCAGGACACAATCTTCGAGATGCCCGGGGATGCGCCACCAGTGCCTGCACTGCCACCTGGTCAGTTCGGCGGCGCTCCAGGTCAGCCGATGCCGATGCGTCGCCCCAGTGCCTCCGGCCTCCCTCCTGGTCCCGCAAGCATGAGGGGCGGTCCCCCGGCTGGTCTACCACCCAACCCTTCGCCGCCTCAACAAGCTAACCCAGACGCACTCCCTTCACACCCTACCCCCGTTCGACCAGGACTCATGGCCGATTCGGTTGTAAGCGTAACAAATAGACCCCCTCCTGTGAGGACGTACGGTGGCGCATCACCCGCACCTATGATGAGTAACAGCGGGCCCCCTTCAAGCGCACCCCCATCCGAACTACCTCCAGATCCGGTGACAACTGAGGAACTCGAGCGCCTGAGGGTCATTGTTAAGGCGGATCCGAATGACCAAGAGACGGCGCTTAGATTCGCAAAGAGACTTGTAGAAGCTTCCGAGGTGCTGATCCCGAACGTTGCCGACCCCAAGACGAGAGCTAGGTCACGCGATAGATACCTCGCGGACGCGCACAAGGTTCTGAAAAAGCTAGCAAGTGCGCAAAATAGGGACGCGATGTTCTTCCTGGCCGATTGCCTCGGAAGGTCACTGTTCGGCAATGAGGCAGATAACAAGGAGGCATTTACCCTCTACCAGTCCGCCGCGAAGCTGGGCCACGCCGCTGCCGCCTACCGGACGGCAGTATGCTGCGAGATCGGCCATGAGGACGGCGGTGGCACGAGGAAAGATCCGCTCAAGGCCATACAGTGGTACAAGAGGGCAGCCACGCTTGGTGACACGCCGGCGATGTACAAGATGGGTATGATTCAGCTCAAGGGTCTGCTCGGTCAACCCAAGAACCCGCGCGAAGCCATCGGCTGGCTTAAGCGGGCAGCCGACCAAGCAACGGTGGAGAACCCCCACGCCCTCCACGAACTCGGCCTGTTGTACGAGTCAGCGCAACCCAACGACGTGATCATCCGGGACGAGAAGTATGCATTCTCGCTCTTCAAGAAGGCCGCCGAGTTGGGGTACAAATTCTCGCAATTCCGTCTCGGCTGCGCCTACGAGTACGGCCTCATGGGCTGCCCTATCGATCCGAGGCTCTCGATCATGTGGTACTCCAAGGCGGCCATGCAGGAGGAGCACCAGTCCGAGCTCGCCCTCAGCGGCTGGTACCTCACCGGTAGCGATGGCGTGCTAGCGCAGAGCGACACGGAGGCGTACCTCTGGGCGAGGAAGGCGGCCATGGCTGGCCTGGCTAAGGCGGAGTATGCTATGGGCTACTTCACCGAGGATGGCATCGGTGTGCCTGCCAACATGGAAGATGCGAAGAGGTGGTATTGGCGAGCGGCCGGTATGTTCCCACAACCCTCTCATATTAAAACAAAAGACCTTTATGCTAACGACTACGGCCTTTTGAATAATAGCCCAAGATTTCCCCAAGGCCAGAGAGCGCCTTGAAGACCTCAAAAAGGCAGGCAAGAGCGGACCAAGACAGCGCGAGCGTATCTCTCGAAGCAAGATGGGCAAGCAACAGGAAGGCGAATGCGCCGTCATGTGAGGAGAGGAGAGCTCGGCCATGACCACCTTCCTGCCTACTCGCCTTGCGGGATCGCCTCGATAAATTGATAAATCGGCGTACCCTTTATTTCTATGGCGAGCTGTAATGTCCCTCAGTCCGATTTCGTTCCGCCCTTCATTTCTTCCCGGGAATGTTGTGTATATGCGGCTGGTTTGCATATACACGACATATCTCCTGCCTCGCCTCCGTCCCAATTCACCTAGTTTACTCGATTCAATCCTCCCCACAGGAGGTAAACCAGAAACTCTAGCATCGAAGATGAAACGAACGAAGGAAAGAACGTACGCGGCTGATTCCAGAACAACGAAGAGGAAAGGGAAACTTGATAACCTTTCGACTAGAGGATTGAGCGTTTCATGATTAAACTTGGAAAACGATATATATGTATATACCATGTCGAAAAGGGTAGCGGGTAGTGGGACGATTCTGAGGAAACGAGACGGGATTCATAATGTGCGAATAGGATGCATGTTCCTTTTGTTATTGGGAAGGGGCCGAGGGTGGAAATGCCAAGGAGGAACGGAGCTGGCGGGTTGTTTTTAGTGATGCCCTTGAGTGTGCTGTCATGATGAATTACTCTCGATACTTGACCAATATAGACTTTGCACCATGACCTTTTTACACGATCTCCGGCGATATCCTACGTCTCACTTCGAAGAATGCAGTTGATAGTCTCTTTGAACACTTACTTACGTATTTCTGCTGGTATACCGAGAAGATTGGAGAAGGGCCAGAGAACCCAAATCTGGCCCGATATTTCAATTCCTAAACTTCAATAGATGCTACTTTCATTAACCCTGAGTTTGGGCGTTCCGCGTCAAGGGACGGCTCAGGATAGCGTCTCCTCCACACGCTATGTTCATAATCTCCTTCCGAAACCCATCAGATGGTCCATTCAGAAGGAGTCTCATCCGTATATACAAGATTCTTCTTCTCTTCATTTACTCCAAACTCCCCAATGCCGCCTAGCGGAACCCCATTGCTAGACATGTATACGATAAAGGAAAATGTTATTGATAGAATGATCGTGGGATATCTATCCCGAGATTTTGGTATGATAATAAAGGTGAGGAAAAGAGAAGGGAGATAAAGAGTCCCAAGTCATCAGTCGCTTCTTATCCAGAGACAGCGAGAATCCGAATTAATTGGCAGTAGCCTTCGGGAGCGGCAACCAAAAGTGAACCTAGGGCGGGTCTCGTTGGAAGTCATTCACCCACCGTACCACGTGTACTCCCGGCATCTTATGGCCTCTCCATGCTTAGGCCAAGACACCTTCACGGAACGATAGGGGGTCGAGCTACAGCATCTTCTGGCTCTAGTGCTCTCTTAAAGGTCCTACCACCAGTAAGGCCAGATCCAGCATTGACCCGAAAGTTGACCAGGTCGATAGAGTTTCCGTTCCCGAGATCAACGTTCGACGCCGCGTCTGTTGTCAGCGTAGTGCCACGGCCGTTGGCAGAATTCGATGTTGTGAAGAAGCGCTGCAGCACCGACTGGGCGCGTGAAGCGTCCGAGATGCCGTCCTCCTGGAGGATAAAAAGCACCGCAACTCGTGCAAAGTCCAACACATCTTCCGAAACCACAAACGAGGTCGACATGGGCATGCTTGTCGCAGTCGGCGGAAGCGTTGTGGTAACTGTGGTTGTCGTCGTGCCAGGGATCCTGTTTGTGAGTGTATTGATGAGAGTCCTGGAGATTGTCGTAACCACCGGAATTGTTTGGAATCCGGCAATTGACGAACCGGAGGCCGCGTTTACCGGGTTGGGTATGATGGTGATAACCTCCACTGCAACAAATACAGCGACAGCGGCAGCGGCGCCCACAACGGCAGCATCGTCGGCATCACCATCAACAGCTGCACCTAGGACGCTGGCTTGTGCCCCACCGTTCCTTGCGGAGCGACCGTCAAATGTTACGAGAGAGTTTTGGGCAGTGCAGGAAAGGCTCCCGGAATTAAAACGAGCAAGAATTTCGGTGCCGGAGAGGGGGACGGAGAAGTTGCCCTGAGCATCCGAAATTAGGCGCGGGATCGCCTGTCCAAGGGTGACGTTATCAATGCCCGGCGACTGGTTTAGGGTGGCCAAGCTTGTCGTCGTGCACCCAGCTGAACCAGCAATGGTACAGTTGGAGCCAGTGAACCCATTTGTGCAGATGCAAGAGCATACATTGCGTGCTACGACATTGGTACCACCATTCTCGCATGTAAGTTGTTCGCGGCATTGAGCCAGAGCAGAATCGCCAAAGGGGCCTCCGAGATTACGGAAGACGAAGAATTGGAGGGGCACGAGGATGGCGGCTGCGATGATACCAAGGACGACAATGATGATCACGATAAAACCCCACAATGGGAGGCCACAGAACTTCCTCCTCTTATTCTGTTGAGAGGAAGAAGACGAAGACTTCTTTGCCCGCGGTGCATCGGTAACACTGGTTTGTTGGTTCATTTGTCCGCGACTAGGAGGTAGAGGCCAAGAAGCGGTGTTCTTAAACCAACTACCCACTCGACTCGTACGCGAAGTTGCTTGTGCCGGAGGGGGAAACGCCGCCAACATATCTGAAAATCCAGATTGATGCCGGTCATCAGCTACTGCAAATAAGGTCGATTGTCAGTATGACTTGCGGAAACTGGAGCATATACATATTAGAGGGAGCATACGTGAATAGCGATCCGAATCCCGCCCAGCAGCCTTCTCATCAGGAAAGTCTAATTCTTCGAAGCGGCTCGCTGGGCGTTTGCCCCGGTCTATCATAGCCGCGAGTCGTGTGGCCCGTTTGATGAGGTCCGGGAGACTCGTCATACTTCCCCTAGAATTTGCCCTCTCCACTGCCTCCATATCCAATCTCGGAGGTCGCCGGATAGCAGATAATCGATTATAAGGCGCATGCGGTGGTGATGGTGAGAGTGTTCTGCGGGCTTGGGCGGCACCAACCGCATTCGCTACGATGGCGTTCGGCGGAGTATCGGGTTTCGAGGCGGTAGCTGTATTTTCGGAACTCGACGCTTCTACGTAACCCGTTCCGTCCGCGAATGGATCCTGAATCGGGTTCGGCCCTGGCCGTTTAGGCGCCGCGCCTGCGGTCACCCCTTTATTCATAACGAGATGCGGCCTGCCCCGTTTACCGATGCTAGCACTCCTCACAAGTTGGCTCTCGTCCATATCAAGCGAGTTCCGCTCTTGACCATTGGCCCTCATCATTTCGTCATAGGAGGGGTCGGGATATGAAGGACTATTGCTAGGGGACAAACTTCCGAAGCTCTCGGGCATGGCGGCACTAGAGGCCAGAGAGGTATGAGATCTCGTTCGCGGACTCTCTTCAGGGATGGGGGATACGAATGAAACGTTGGAGTAAAACGACGATGCACCTCTTCGAGCTGAAGGAGGTGGACCTAAGGTCACGCTCCTTCGAGGAGGAGGGATGCCCGGAGGCGCGGTAGAGATGGGTAGTGGAAAGTCGGGGATCGATGCCGTAGAAGAAGCTGTTTGGAGGGACGAGGGGGTTGGGGGGATAGAGCTGCTGAAACTTTGTTCCGAGTCCCTTACATTTTGGGGTTGGTATTGGAAGACTGGAGTGGGATCTTGCACGCGGGAGTTGTCCAAGATTGACGGCACATGGCTTGGGCGGGGAGGTCGTTGAGGGGGCTGTGACCTTCCAGGAGGTGGTTGATATGGCTTGGAACCAGACGCCGTCACCGGTTCCGGTATTGGCCCTGGTAGAGGCCATTGGGGTACTGGTGTTGGCCTCGAAATTGCGACTCCTGCAGGACCATTCTTTCCTTGAAAAGCTCGTGGGCGTGCAGGCCTAGGCGGAGTCGCTCCAGAAGACCGGTCCTCGGGCATCACGTTCCCAGCCTCCGCACGTTCCCTCGCCATCCGTACGGATCCCCCTGAGGCCTCTGTTCGATCCATTTCTCTTCCATTTTGAGGTAGACTCATTTAGCACTTTCCAACACGACCGTCAGACATCAGGCGAGACGGGGATTCGGTGGGGAAATGTCGCACACTCGGCACCCAGCCTCGTACTCGTTTCACTGTTCGAGATCTTTTAAATAAAGAATCCGAACCAAGACGGTTGGCTCTATTCCGACACCCGTTCCTTCTCGAAGAGCAATTTGTGCACTGCCGGGCCCCTGCGCCGATATGCGTCGATATCGTGGAACAAAACCGTCGAAGTGGCGGGAGGTCACCGAACAAAGTCTCGTATAAGTGGAACTCGTGCGATATCGCGGCCAGATTCGCCAAGGTTTCCGAAGAGTAACAGGATCCGCCGAACGAATATAATGACTAGGGCACACACAAGGTGACAAAGTCGGGTATCTCAAAAACGATTGGTGTCTCTCAACTCTAAATCCAAAGCAGTGGAACCATCGAGGTTATCCGGAGAGAATGACGAGAAGTATTAAGTCGAAGATAAAAAGAATAGCACAGAGAATAGAATGCAGATGCCAGCTTGCTATGTAAAATAAAACCTGAGGAGATCAGAGAGCGAGCGAGAGAGAGAGAGGAAGAGAGAGAGAGAGAGAGAGAGTCGGTAACACGAGTCTGATAGGGAAGATGATGCAAAGATGGGAAGTAGAAGCACAGTTCAAAAGGTGACAAGCGAGAGGGAGAGGTGAAAGAAGGGAAAGAGTTGCAGATGCCAACGAGAAAGTGTCAGTTCCGGTTGAAACTGGGAAAAGATGGGATTGGGGAGAGCCAGGTGTGGAAGTGAGGCCATGGGGACGCCGGCGTCGACTGGCAAAAGCGGGAGTGGTGTCGCAAGGGAGACGACCAAGGTGTGGGATAGACACAGGGAACGGGCGTGCACGTATTCAGCAACAAGGGCATCCCATGATTCCCTAAACAGCCGGATCGCAGGTGGGATGGGTGACAGATGCGCAGAATAAGATAAAGTGGAGGGTGAAGAAATTGAAGAAAATAAGAAAAGGAGATCACCTACTCCGTACAGTATTCGTTTCGAGAAGGATACGTAGGGACGCGAGAAAGGTGGGATGCAGCCCCAGAACCCAGAACGTCTGTCTACTTATTCACCTTGATCGAGTTGAGTAAAATCTATTCGATGCATCCCACTTCCGCTACCTTAAAGCTAGGCTGGCTCGATCTTGAGTCAATCGGAGGCAATGACAATGTCAAATGTTTGAGAAAGAGGAGGAAGCAGCGAAGAAGCAAGAGAAGAAGAAAAGAAGCAGGAGCGACGACGAAGGCTCAGTCGATTCTCGTCTTCGTCCTTCCTCGTACAAGTCTAGCCCCTCGTGCCTGCCATCCCCTGCGTAGCCTAGCGCAGCCTCCAAAGCGAGGGTGGGGCGTTTTGTCCACAGCGCACTTTCCGCCACCCCTGTCTCACTCAACTTCTCAAGGAAGGTACGAAGTTCACCAAAATTGTATGGGAAGGCGCTAGAAAAGGACGCGGGGCTGTCCAGGACAGTGCGTGTTTCAGAATGGGGGCACATCAGGGGTCCCCGGCAAACTCGACACGGTTGTGAGAAGAGGGCGGCATCGTGTCGGAAGAGGAGAAGATCAAGTGTCAATCACACACCACGCACCACGCACAGAGACCATGTTCAAAGAACGTTGACCTGTTCTCGAGATTTTCAAGTCAACTTAAATAGATGATTTACGAAACCGATTGAATCGCGCTGCCAATGCCATTTTACTAAAGAACAGCGTTTTTTGTTTGGTCCCAAGACTAACTCAGATCTCCGAAACCCACTTATATGCGTGACAAGGCAAGGGAAGGGAAATATGTATGGGGTGGGGATTGCAAGCAAATTGGCAAACCATCAGAGCCGAATGAGACTTACAAGGCAGTTAGCACACTTGGTACGAAGCAGCAAGGTGCTCGTCCTGCCAGGGAGACTGCGTTCGATAGGCTGCCCTTTCAAGTATCGAACATAACACGAGGACCTGGTGCAAGGACATTCCGGTTCTTCCGCAGAACTTGCGAAGTATGACGGGCCCGGTCAAGGAGCTCCCGAACAGGGCGGAGTGGAATATGGACGGAGACTGATCAATTTGAGGCATTATGGAGTCTGCTTCAAAGTACATACACTACAGAGAGCCAGAGGCTTCCAAGCAGGAACGCTTGCATCGAGAAAAACGCTGTCCTTCCCTTCGTAGTCTACGAAGGAATAATAACACACGTTGCATAATAAATTGGTCTCGTGCATTCGGGCGCGGTGCACTCCTTGTGGAGCCATAAATCCACCTCAAAAGTTGCGACCGGCCGATTAGAAACCTCAATCAATGATCTTGGTGTTTGTTTCGCTTCCAGCCACTTATTTCGTAGACCGAAACCAAGCATCCCATCGATTCATTAAGGCTAGGGTCGCAGGAGGCAGATAGGTGTGTCTGTTAAATACCCATCCAACCCCACAAACTCGCGTGCCTGACCTTACACGCATAAAGTCGTCGGGTGGCTTGCCAATAGCGACGGAAATAGCTGGGCCCATTCCAGTATTTTCTCAGATCTCGTTCTAATTACGTCTAATAATACTCGTCCAGATCGGATGCTCTTAAAATAAGGTAGGGGGATTGTCTCCACATAGAGCGCACCCTTCAGATTTAGCACGATTGACGCAGCCAGCGTGCATCGACTTACATTTGCCGGCGTCAACTTGGATGGGCAGGCTGGTCCAAGTCATAAAGTACCCAGATAATGGCCCCTGCTCCTCGAATCAAAGAGTGCGCGAAATACTTACTTGTACAAAGTAATTCAGTGTCACAACGACGGACCACATCTGAAGCGTTATTGGCCTCTTATCAACAGCCTAACCACGCAACTCTCAGACCCATTGTTGATGTTGATAGCCGCTTGGGGCAAGATAATTTCCACTCCATGAAAATCGCTGTGATCAATGTGCCTGGCCAGATCGAGAAAGTCTGCAGATTGAGTGTTGCAGCACAACCCAGGCTCGAGGCCTGAACGCACGGCGTATGCCTTTGTATTCACCTTGGTCATCCCAAAACGTACATGGCGACGGCGTCGATGGACCAGTCTCAACGTAGTGCCTCGTGATCGACGACACTTTGCGCTTGGGTAAACACTTCGTAGTATGTGCTTACTCCAGACAAATCGGGACACTGTGGGTGTAAATTACTTCGTGGCTTTACTCAAAAGGGGCACAGACTCGCATTTCATGCAAGGTACGGATTGTCATGACCAGACTGTTGGGAGGAAGGGTCCTTCCGACGTGGCTGTGCCCCTCTTCAGAGTGGTGCCTGGGCCAGCCAAGTCAGGCACGAAGTAACATCGTACTCGTAGATTACTTGTCCTGTCAACCGTTCCACTCTTCCCTTTTGACCCAGAGTCGCTTCAACGTCAACGAAGCTCAATCCAATCCCACAGCAGCGGGAAGGGGAAGGAAGCACAAGATCACTGTGCGTCCCGATCCACAACCAGAGCAAGATTTATTATCTGTATTTTGGTAACCTACGCAGGCAACCAACAATAACACAATGCCGACGTCCGTATGCCGCACCTCTGCAGTCACCCAGCCTCTTCGTAGAACAACGAGCATCGTGAAAAACTGTCCTTCTCGGTTGTCAATGTCTGAAAGTTCGCTCGAGACAGACCTTGATGTCTCAGATGGTACGTTCCAACTCGGCAGAGCTCCACGAATGTCTCCTCGACACCAAGCCCGTTTCTTCATCCAACCTCTCCATCCGTACATTGTTCTAGACAAGCAAAGAATGCCACATATTTGTTTCACCATTTCTCGGGATTGGTTCAAACCATCTTCCCTCCTCTGTCAAACCGCAGTGCCTTGACCGTCACCAACTGCGATATCAACTTGTCAGTCTGGTCGCTTCATCTCGGGCTGGGGTTTTGAAACGAAACATTCTACCGGCCGCAAATATGGCTCGACCAAAGGATGCCGCCCAGCGTCATTGGGCCGAGTGGTCGCATGGAAGGTTTAAAAGACTCCTGACTCTCCCCCCGTGTCCCCTCCGTATTCCCCCTCCTGGCCTCCACGGGTCTCGTTCTCGGCTCCCGTATACCTCGTCCGATGCTCTGCACACCTTCGTGATCGCGTCAGGAATCCTTCGTCATGATTTTCTGGCAATCCGCGAATCCTGATCACCAACACGTTACCGAATAAGGAGAAGGTCGGCCCTTGATAGGGTGCGTAGAATCTTGGCTTTTTTTACTTGGCCGTCCTTGTCTTGCTTCACTGTCTCGGGTGTTCTGAGATCAGCGGCGTGATTGCCATGGGGCAAGGAACAGCAACAAAAAAAAGGAAAAAATAAGGCCTTCACCCGCCATGTTTCAGATGCGTTCACGCCAACACTCTGGAACACTTCTTTTGTCTAAGATTCTATTTATCCAGCCACCACCAACCCAGCCGTCCTGACTCTAGATCACGTGTAAAACTGATTAGCCTGAGGCAGGTCGATGCTGGGTGAGAGTGAGAAATGATTAATCCATAATCCAGAAGCTATTGGCAACGGAACTGAGTTGAGCTGTCAGAAGAGCATAGAGATAAGCGATGAACTACGCGATTACATGATCCTTGATATCAATAGATATAGATTATACTCAGATCTAACGCATTAAACAGATCAAATTCTTCTTGGTACAGATGGCATACATCCTAACCATATCGGTCTCGAGTCCGCCACGTTCGGTGTGTCCATACACCTACTCTCACCGGCGTTACTGTGAAGCCATAGATGCCATTCCCTTACGGCGGATATGTATTCCCATTGCGCCCAGTTCCGGATTTT